TTAGGTCATATTATTCCAATATCTTATATGAATTATCCATATACATATGCGAGATGTCGTTTACAATTACAACCAGATTGTGATTTTAATCCAGATTCACTATTCTTTCATTTTCTTAAATCAACAAAAAGTAAAAGTTGAGAAAAAGTTAAAGATTAGATTTTTTTAAATTTTAATTAGATTCTTTTTGTTATGATGGAAGAAAAAATGATGGAGAAACAGATCAAGATTGTGGTGGAAAATGTGCAACAATAAGAAAATGTTCAGTTGGTGCAACATGTGACAAATATTCGGATTGTAAAAGTGCTTTTTGTCATAATATAACAAAAATTTGTTTACGTAAATATTTCTTTCAAATTCATAATCTTTGGTTTTGGTTTTTTTTTGAAAAAATCAATTGTTTTTTAGCTTCATATTGTAAAGACAAAGATAAAGATCGACAAGAAACTGACATAGATTGTGGAGGAACATGTTCTCAAGGAAATAAATGTGATAATGGTCAAAAATGTAACATTTCTAGTGATTGTCAAAGTGATTTATGTATTGATGGAATATGTTTACGTAAGAAAAATATTTAAAAAAGAAAAAGATTTATTTTCTTATTTTAGCTTTTACTTGTATTGATTTGGATGAAGATGAAAACGAAACAGATGTTGATTGTGGAGGTATTTGTTCTTTAAAAAGAAAATGTTGTAATTATAAAAAATGTCAAAATAACACAGATTGTATAAGTGGAAATTGTAATAATAATATTTGTGGTATAAAAATTGATTTTCTTGAGATAAATATATGAAAAACCTTGTTATTGATTTTGTTTTAGCACCTAAAAATCAATGTTCAAATAATTGTATGAATTATTGTCAACCAAAATTTTTAATAACATTTGGTTCTGGTTATGATCAAATTTTGAATACAACAACAAATATCTTTGGTTTTATCACAGATTTTACATTTAATTACACACAAAAACCAAATAATGGCAATTATGTTCTTATCAATTCTTTAAATAACACATTTTCTTCTTGGTTTATTTTCCAAATGGATCATACTCCATATGATAATGGTGGATACATGTATATTATAAATACTAATCAAACAAATTCAACAATTTTTAAATATAATGTTACTAATCTTTGTATTGGTTTATGTTATGAATTTTCTGCTTATATAGCAAATGTGAATAACTTAACAATACAACAAAATAATTCTTTTGCAAATCTAATTTTTCAAGTAGAAACTATTTTATTAAAGAAAAATCTTGTTTATGCTAATATTGGTAATATGGCAAATAATAAAGAAGTAACATGGATGAAATTTGGTATTTCATTTAATGCAACAGAATCTGCTGTTACTCTTTCAATGATTTCAAATATTAATGCAGAAATGGGAATTCATATTGCTATTGATGATATTGAATTACGTACTTGTTCAAATGATCAATCACGTATATGTTCAATAGGTTTGTAAAAAATCAAAATTATCTTTTGATTTTATATTGAAATTGATCTTTTTTTTTTAAAGGATGTATTGATTAATTCAAATAAGAATTATTTAATTACATTTTATTTAAAGAAAAATTCTTCTTGATATTTCAATATTCGAATAAAGAAAATATAAAATCTTTTAGAATTGAAATGTTAAATTCATATTCACTTTGCATTTTCGTTAAAAAGAATTGTTCAAAAGCGCAAAAAATTTCTTTTCATTTGCTTTGTTTTGTTATTCAATGAATGAAAATCAACGATTTAGTATTAATTCATTATTTTCAAAAGAAAGTGAAAGATCTTTGAAATCAAATATTTGTGATAAATATTTATTATATATTCCATTGATATTTTCATTAATACTTTTAATCAGTGGAATTCTTTTATTTCTTTTCATTGAACAAAAGAATAAACATGTTGAAATCATTGATAATGAATCATTTTTTCAAATTAATTCGACATTTAATGGTTTGAAATATTGTTTTTCTTCAAAGATTCGAAATATTTGTTTTTAGAAAGTATTTTTCCACGAGATTGTTATTGGAAACATTTTTCTCTAAGATCTCATATAATTTGTGTTTATAATTATTCATCGTTCGTATTTTTTTCTTATTCGAATGAAATTCATGATGGTGATGAAATTCGTTTTGAAAAGAAAATGTTCAAACAACCAAATGTACGACTTGATTGGAATCTTTTACTCAAATCGAAATCACTTTCGTTTATTTTGATTTTTTTCGATATGAACTTTGATCAAATTATTATTCATTGGATTGTTTATTTCTCATCGTTTTTAACGAAAGGATTTGATATTTGTTTATATGAATTTAAGGAATATATTCATGGAAAACAAACGAAATTTGTTCTTTTTTATGCAACAAATCAAAGTTTATCGATGATTTTAACAAAAACAACTTGTGTTCATTATTCTGATGAATATTATTTGAAAAAATATGTCCAATCAATTCAATCAAAACTTCTGGCTTCAATAGAATTTAATATCATCAAATTTTACAATGAAAAAAATAGAAATCATTTTCTTACGACAATCTGAAACATTTTGTCAAAAAATAATTCTCTTTTTACTGTTGATTCGACATTTTCATGATTAGGATAAACCATTAGAGGAATGTACATGTACATTTGTTTACTCTCACCTGTAATGTATAAGAAAGTGTATGAAATAAAGATAATAGAAATACATTCGATATTGAATTCTCGATAGAATTTGTCAAATTTGATTGAACGATGATCAAAATAAGACATTGCATCAGGTTTTTTACATTTACTTGGTGATCGATATTAGTAAACATTTAGGTACACAGTGCGACATCTACCGAAAATAATGAATGAATTTCTTAAATAAAAAGAGCAGATCAAAATGATTAAGATTTTTGGAATAAAATTAGAAAAATTTTCATTGAAATTGATGATGTCAATTGGAAAAGTTTTCATTGGTTAATAGAAATCCAATCCAAAAATTGTTCTGCGAAAGATGTGCACATCGATCCAGATCTGCTGATTTACATATTTTAGTGATAAAATGGAAGCGAAATTAGCCGAATTTCGTAAATCCAATTCGTCAAAGCAACCCTTGATCAATTGGCATCAACTGATATCACGTGTTATATCAATGTTTCCCTCTTCATCACATCGATCATCTGAAATTAAAGTAGAAGAAATTGAAGAAAAAGTCACTTGGCAAATAATTCTTTTGAAATTTTTCGTTTGGTTAACTTTATTTGTTATTTTTATTCGTCTTGAATTCGGTGCGATTTATTTTATTTTATCTCTTTNTCAACTGATATCACGTGTTATATCAATGTTTCCCTCTTCATCACATCGATCATCTGAAATTAAAGTAGAAGAAATTGAAGAAAAAGTCACTTGGCAAATAATTCTTTTGAAATTTTTCGTTTGGTTAACTTTATTTGTTATTTTTATTCGTCTTGAATTCGGTGCGATTTATTTTATTTTATCTCTTTTGTATCTCATTTGGACAAATTTGAGTACACATCGTCGCCGTACTGATCAATTAAGTGCTTATTCCGTGTTTAATCCTAATTTTGAAAAACTTCAAGGAACATTTTCTGCTGACGATTATGATCGTCAATTAAGACATGGTGGATCACCTTTAATTTCGTCTTAATTTCGGTTTTTTTTTCTTCAGATGATTTCTTCTTCATTAAAACGTTTTTGTAAATCTTCAATAAAGAAATGTCAATGGTCTCCGATAATTTCTGATGAATATCTTCATTTACCTGATGTTCAATCAATGATCGTTGCTCGTATCAAAGATCGTCGTTTAACATCGGAAATTCTCGATTTCATCGATGAAATTTATCCATGGGAGAATTCATTGAAACACATTCGACGAATTTATAATTCGGAGATTATTCTTTATCCATCGGAATTTTCTCAACCAATTTCAAATGATTTATTTGAAAAGTATTTTGATGAACAAATCAGAGAAATCAATGTTCCGAAAACACCTTGTTTAGTCAAATGGCAATATGAACGATGTATTGAACAGTTTTGGCCAAGTTTAGTCTTTCGAGAAAATAAACTTCTGGAACAAACGATATCAAAGAAGAAATTGAATGAAAATGACGAAATTATTCTCGATTTACTTCATGTTTGTTTATTCGAATTACAAAAGAAAAACATTCGAATTCGTGATTTTTTGTTTGTAGAAAATTCAAGACAATGATGAAGAATCTCATTGTGCAATTATTATTGATAATGATGGACAAATTCCTCTTGTCGGTTCACGTGATTATCGTCAAGATCATCCATTACAACATTCAACCATTGTCGCCATTGATTATCTTTCAAAAAATTCCTTTTATCATCGAGAAAATCTTTTAGAAAAATTTATTGAAAAAAGTGAAAAGAAAAAAGCATATTTATTAAATGGATGTTCTATTTATTTAACTCATGAGCCTTGTATTATGTGTGCTATGGCTTTACTTCATTCTCGAATATCAACTGTTTATTATGTGAAATCAAATCAACAATTTGGAGCATTAGGATCAATTTATAAATTAAATACTTTAAAAAAAACGAATCATCGATTTCTCGTTTATCAATTAGAAGATCTTTCTATTGATGAAATCAATCAGTGAAATCAAAATTTGTTTTGTTTTATTGATAAAAACAAATTTATATTATGTTCAAAGAATGGATTTGTTCTTTTTTTTTAGATAAAAGACGAAATGCGATTATTTTTAAATCATTTCCATCATTGTTCAAATGTTTTCATTCGTCGTCAATTTTCATTATCATATCGAAATTCCAATCTTTTTCAAAGTTTATATAATCATTTTCAATATGGAAAAAAAGCAAAAAAATTAGCATTGGAACGTGGAATTGATCTTAATAATTTAACTCCTGAACAACAAATCAAACTTCAATCAGTTTTACGATTAAAAAAAACCTTTCGTGTTGTGAATATTGTCATGGCTTTGATGGCAATTACAGGAACAATTATTTGGTATAGACGTCGACAAAATCTTTTTGAAAAAAATAAAGAAATTAATGAAGAATTTCAACCAATTTGGATGAATTTGAAATATTTCAAACAAAAATGTGCGTTGATTAAAAATTATTTATTACCGGAACAAATTATTGGAAAATTAAATGAAATTCAACATTTTCAATTTAATTCAAATGATTGTATTTGTGCATCATTTCCCAAATCTGGAACAACATTAATTCAAGAAATTGTTTATTTAATACAAACGAATTTCGATTATGAATCAGCAAAGAAAATCGATATTTCAGAAAGATTTGCTTTCATCGAATGGCCAACTGTGAAATTACAAAAATTGACTCAAAATCAACAAAGATTCTTTAAAACTCATCTTCCACCCACATTTTTTAATGAATCTTTCACGAAAGCCAAAGTAAAATGATTCGATCTCTTTTCTAAACTAATCAAATGAACTTTTCTTTAGATCGTTTATGTTTATCGAAATCCGAAAGATGTAACTGTGTCATTATTTCATTTTCTTCGTTCAATCAACATTGAATTGACTTATTCTGGACCGTGGAATGAATTTGTTCGATCATTTCTCATTGATGAAGGTTTTTTCATTGTTTATAGATTTATCAAAATACATTTTGAGATCATTTAGTTTATTATGCACCTTGGTGGAAACATGTCAATGATTATTATGCAATGAATGAAACGATTTGCTGTATTTCCTATGAAGATTTGCTTAGAGTTTGTTGTGAAAGATTTTCATTGAAGGAAAAATGAAATTTTGTTTAAAGGATTTTCGAGGAAGTGTTCGTCGATTAGCGAAATATTTAGGAAAAGAAAAAGAATTGACTGAAGAACAATTGGATAAATTGGAAAAATGGTGTTCGTTTGATTCAATGAAAAATAATCCCAAAGTCAATTATGATTGGTTTAAAGATTGGGGTTTTGTGAAAAAATCCTTCTCTTTCTTGAGAAAAGGTTCGTATTTTCTCCAAAAAAAAAAGATTCTTTCAATTCGATTTTCGTATTTTCAAGGTCAAATTGGTGATTGGTTGAATCATTTTGATGTTCAACAATCGAAAGAATATGATCAAATGGTTTCAACACGTCTTTCTCCCTTAGTTCCTCGTTTTAATTATGGAATATCTCAAGAAGATCAACAAAAACTTTATGATTTCGATGCCAAACGACAAACATAGTTGAATTGAATTTTTCAACGTTAGTTTTGTATTTCAGATGCAAAAAACCGAAATTCATTGGTCTCCGAACGATCGAAATCAATTAGCAGAAATCGGTGCTGAAATCATTATTCACACATTTGATCGACCATTAAGTGGAGAAAGTGGAAAATGTGTTCTCGGTGGAACAAATAAAAGAACTACAAGTCTCAACTATCCATTACATGAAAAGAATTATATCAAAGTTTGTTACATCGGTTTTGTTTTCCAATGAAAGATCTTCAAAAAAAAGATTTATTTTAGTGTTGTGCATGGTGGCCATCACAAGAATATCCATATGTATTTGCTATTGGACAACCAAATGGAAGAATTATTTTTGAAAAGTTTGTTAAAAGAAATGTAAATTGGAAATAAATTCATCAATTGAATTTATTTTAGTGTGAAAGATCGATCGGATCCATTGAGTCAAGGAAGAATAGGTTTGAATTGAAGAATTTTTTATTTAATAAACTTCTAATTTTAGTCATCGATCCGAGACAAGGACGAGCGTGTGTAGCATTAGCATGGAATTCTAAACATCCAAATCTAGTAAAACAATCATTTGTCAAATTTCATTGTATTCTTTTTCAATTTCAAAGCTTTTATCTGGTTATGATCGACATCGTACGGAAAATTGTTTGACTATTTGGGATATAAATCATAATGGAACGTCTCCACCAACAATACCAAATGGAACTGGACTTCCAACATTGTCATCAGCGACAAATATTGAAGAATATAAACGATATGATATGTATTTACATAATCAACAGAGTTGTAAAGCAATTTTTGAACAAGGAACACATGAACAATGTCATTCATTAACATGGTTTAAACCAAATGNCAATTTCAAAGCTTTTATCTGGTTATGATCGACATCGTACGGAAAATTGTTTGACTATTTGGGATATAAATCATAATGGAATGTCTTCACCAACAATACCAAATGGAACTGGACTTCCAACATCGTCATCAGCGACAAATATTGAAGAATATAAACGATATGATATGTATTTACATAATCAACAGAGTTGTAAAGCAATTTTTGAACAAGGAACACATGAACAATGTCATTCATTAACATGGTTTAAACCAAATGAAAAATTATTTGCTGCATGTACAACTCAACATAATACAAGAACAATCAAAATTTATGATCCAAGAGGTAATTTATTCTTTATGAGATTCAATTTAATGAAGAAGATGATGAAAATCTATTGAAATTAGTTTAATTTGATTAAAAATTGTGTTAATAGAGAAGACTGAATTTGATATTTGAGAGAAAGATTTGACTTTTGTAATTTTAGTACCATCAGGAAGTGTTTTATCATTTTCGACCAAAGGACCATTTAATTTATGTTGTGATACAAGTGAACGATATTTAGCATCGAGTAGCGATGTAAGATGAGTTTTATTTAATAAAAATTAAATTGATTTTGTGAATTTGTAGAAAACTGTTTATGTTTATGATACTCGTTCGGCTGATAAAGCATTGATTGTTCGTGAAGAACATGAACCAATTGTAAAATTATCTTGGAATAGAATTGGGTAAGACAATTCTTCGATGAGTTTCTTTAATATAAACGAAATTTAGATCACCACAACTTGGTTATTGTATAAAAGATTCTCCAAAATTTCATCTATTATCAATGAGTACAAATATTGTTCAAGACAATGATGTTTTTGTTCATCGACTTCTTCAATGTAAAATTGGAAAATATCTTTTGTTTTGTTTTAATGAAATGATTTTTCAGGTCCAATTCAACGTTATCGAATTGGTTTAGCTTCGTTCGATTGGAATTATTTCGATGAACATCGTCTTGTTCTTCTAGGTGGAAAAGAATATTTCGATTATGTCATTCCATCTCGATCGACAATTGTAAATTGATTTTTATCTGAAAAGATAAAGTTTTAACAGAAATCTTTAGAATTATTCACCACGAAATGGACTTTTATGGACAAATGGTCATGAAATGTATTCATCAATTATTTCTCAAGATCAAAATCAATTAACATCGAAAGTTTTATTCACATACGATCTTTCAAATGTACAAAATGAAAGACGAAGTGTGACACCAACACAATCAACATTGAATACTGAAGTATTTATTTGATTAAAATTCTTCTTTTTTTCAAGAAATTCCAATGTTTTTAGATAATTCAAATGGATTTACGAACGATGTCAAAAGAAACTCAATCAACTATTGAACAAATACAAAGATGGATTAAAAGTAAAATAAAATTCATTGTGAATTAGAAAAGAATTTTCTTTTATTAAGATACAAGTACTGCGAGAGATCCTTATCCATTTGTTGGAGTAATTGATGCATTAAAAGAAGTTCAACCTTCATCAAAAAGTATAGTGAAACAACAATCTTGGTCTTCAATGACAAATTCCACACATACTAAAACAATTTTTGATTCACCAGAGAGGTAAATTTCGTTGTTTCTATCAAATTAATCAATTATTCTTATTGATTAGACAAATTGTTGGTCAATTATGTGGTTGGTCAAATATTGATTCAAAATCCGGTGGATATGATCGTATGGCATCATTATTGGAACAAGATGAATATGAAAAAGTTGCTGCTATTTATATTTTTCAAATGAATATCACTCGTGCAATGGAAGTTCTCAACGAAGGACATCAAAGAGGTGAATATTTTGTTTGATTTTCTTCGATAAATTCATATAAAACATATGATTTCAGGTGGAAAAGAAGAATTAGCTACATTAAGTCTTGCTTTATTTGGTTCGATTCGTGCGACATTAACAAATCATAATGATGAAAGTTTCATTCATGATTTTTCATCAGTAACAAAATTATTTCATCGTCCATATGTTCGAGCAATGTTTGCATTTATTTTAACACCAGATGGAAATGATCTTTCTTATGAATGTGTTCTGGTAAATAGGTTTTTTTTGTAGATTTTTCATTATTTTTGTATTTTTCTTTTCTTAAGGATGAACAATTAGATCTTAATGATAAAGTGGCGTTTGCAGCGAAATATTTAAATGATCATCTTTTGGAGAAAAAATTAGAAAAATTAGCAGATGAAAGTCGAGAAAAAGGAGATTTACAAGGAATTTTATTAACAGGTTAGTTTTTCTTTTTCAAAATAAATTCATTTTAAAAATTAAAATGAAAAGGTTTGAAACAAAGTGGATGTGAATTAATTCAAAATTATCTTGATCAAACCAGTGATATTCGTACAGCTGCATTACTTGCTATTTATGTACCTGAAGATGTTCATCAAGAATGTCGATATGTTCAAGAATGGATTGAAGGGTAAAAATTTTCTTCAAAATCGAAATTATCATCTTTTTGTTTTTGTCAAAAACAAAAATTAGATTTCGAGTTCTTCTTGATGAACTTCAAATGTGGAATGAACGTGCGGAATTTGATATTTATCGAAGTCATATTTCAGGCACAGCACCACATCGTCGACATCTATTCGATCGTTCAATCAATTTCAATCATCATTTTTCATGTATTTTCTGTCAAACACCTCTTGAAACTCATCCCGGTATGTCAAATCAAACACCAACACCAGTTGGTTTATCATCAAACGTCAATTCGACACCAATTACAACTACACCTGTACGTCCTCAAACACGTGGATCTCAACAAACAATGTCTAATCGAATATCTGCTTCATCTTCATCTTCATATCCACAATCACAAAATTCAGATTTGGTTCGAATGACAATTCATTTTCTTTCTAATCTATTTGATTTTTTTAGTTAATGGTTTGTAGTAAATGTCGACAAGTTTTACCACGTTGTTCAATATGTATGATGAGTTTAACAACATATATCGAAGATGCTTCTTATGCTTATGAACCTTTACCAGGTAATAACAAATGGATGAAATTTCAAAGTTTATTTTGATATTTAGATAAACATACTTTAATGTCAAGTCAATGGTTTACATGGTGTCGTTTATGTCGTCATGGTGGACATGCTGAACATGTGTCAAATTGGTTTGCAATGAATCAACAATGTCCTATTGCGAAATGTTTCTGTCGATGTACATTGATTGATGGCATCTTTTGTTGATTAAAAACCTAAATAAAAAAAAACAAATGAGACTTTATAAAAATAAACCAATCAATTTACATGTCACAAAATATTTTGTTTCTTTCATTAAATTTCTTTCAAAATATTTTCTTATATATGTATTTCATCAAACTTGAATGGAAATAATATTCTACGGAAACATTCTTTCTAATCCGATTAATCTTTTACAAGTTATCATATGAAAGATCAGTTATAAGAACTAGTTACATATGTACACTCACCTTTCAAGTACACAAACATCTTTCTAGATCAATGACATATTATTAATAGAAACAGATTCTCTTTTGTTTTTCAGTGAAAGAAACTTTGTAACAGAAGAATGAAACAATTTGTTTGTTGGTGAACAAAGTATTTTTGTCTTAGAGAAGAATATTGAAAAAATTTTAACATAATCCTTTTTTTATTTGAAATAAAAATAGAAATTCACACAGGAAAGGTAACCGGAATGTTTCTTTAGTGATTTTTTAATTGAAAAGATGCGAAGAGGATGGATGACATCTTTAGATGTACATAAGAATTGCATGAAATAAAATAATAATGAGCAAAAAAACACGGAGAGATCACGTTTTACCATCGTTGTATAAAAGTGCGTTTCTAATGCGTCGTTGAGCTCTAATTTCTTCGAAAGCTGATGATGTACCAGTAGTTGTTCCTGTTGGATTTAATAAACCAGCAGAAGCACTCGGATTGGTATCTTTATTAAGTAAACCTAATGCTTGTTTCATTTTAGTTGTCTCACTTGGTTGAAACCATTGTTTGGGAATCATGGAAAGAAGAATTCCAGCACAAGAACATAAAATTGCGGTGATAACCAAAGCAGAATAAGTTTTTGTATATAAATAATGATCAATAACTGAAATGAATTATTAATTCGATAAAGAATATAGATAAAAAAGAAAGAATTTACTTGCAACAGATGGAATAGCGATGAGTAACGAAGTTATATTGGGTAATGTTGTATATTTAAATGGAAATGTTATTAAGAATATGTTGAATACTTCAATAAAAGAAAACAAAAAAGAAAGAATCAAGTGCATGGAACGTTCTTTTTTTATTCTTACAAAGCGCAGAAATTAATGTAAGAATTGGAATTAATGAATAAAATTGATAAATTATGATTGGTTCAATTTGAGTTACATGAAATAATAGAGCAAATGGCCAAAAAATACATGTTCCACATAGACAAACATTGATCATCACTATTCGATATTTCGAACATTTAAAATCTTTTACAAAACCATTGACGAGTACCTTTAATATTCAAAAAATATCTTTTATCTAAAAATTTCCCTTTTTTTTCTCCATACATCAAATGTTGTTTTCATCGACACAGCACCAACAACCATTGTTAACCCAAGTAAAAATCGATTAAATCGAAAGCCATCATTATGTGCTAACGAAAGTAAACCAGACAACGCCAGAATATGTGCAATGATCTAACAAAAAAAATAACGAAACATCGAATTTTTCACAAAGTTTTCCCTAACTTTATTTCCAATAAATTCTTCTTGTAAAAAAATCCATCCGAGTACTTGACGTAGAGTGACTGTTATAGAATATAAGATCAAAACTTCCACCGGTAAGAGTATCGTCATTGAGCGAAACAGTAGATAACATGAAAAATACCATAGAACACACAATAAACATGTTTTTAATAAATAATCAATCAACGTATTTGTTGACGAAGTTTTTCCACCATCAAAAATTTGACCAAATTCTCTAAAAAAAAAAGATTCCCTTTGATAAAATCTGTCAGTGAAAGTTTCCTAACAAGAAACACATAGTCATCAAGGTCGATCTCTTGACAGAAACATGATAAAAAACATGAGAAATTCTTCTTTCTAATGTTGTTTTTCATTTTTTGATGTTTTGATGCATATATTCTTCAAAGGAAAGTAACGATACGTAACATTTCTCTTCCGGTCTTCTTTTTCTTTCTCTTCAACGGATGTTCTGTCAACTAAGCTTATTTTATACAATCCATGGATATGAATTTTTAATGAACTTTTCTGACGAGATTGACTTCTTTTGGAAAAATCTTGAGAAAAGATCTTTGTAGATTGAACTTCAATAAATAAAATGGAAAACAAAAAATAAGATTTTTTCCTCACCGGAGAAAAGCTGCTCGAGCTCGATCGCGTTGTAAACGTTGTCGATAAAGAATTAAATGTATAATTAAACAAATGAAGAAGAGAAAAACATTGAAAATCCAAACAGATGCAAAAAATGAGCGAATCGATGGTGATATTTCATTAAATGATTTTGTTTGATTGTTTGATAAAGATAAATTTGAAGAGAATTCTTCTTTTTTGTCACGAATAAGTTCTTTGGCTAATTCAACTGTTATGATAAGAAGAAACGCAAATAGAATTGTTAAAATTAGAAATAATAAGATTTGTTTAAGTGTTTCAAAACGTTTTATTTGATCATTTGTTAATTGTAAAAAACGCGTTTGAGGAGACGTTTGTTCTTTTCCAATAGATAAATTTGAAGGTAATGTTTGAGATGCACGATGTATAGGAAGTAATCCATTTAATACAGGACTTGTTATTAAAGATGTTGAAGAATGAGAACTTGTACTTAATCGTGAACCACGAAGATTTTGAGCCTGAGATTGTTGTTGCATTGATATAAATGAGCTATAACTTGATCGATCTCTCTTTTTTCTTATTCACACTGTGTAACGTTGAAATATAATTAGTTGTAATAGACTTCTTCTTCTTCTTCTTCGTTTTCTCAAATAGAATAGAAGAGAGAGGAAAAAAAGACAACAGCGACGTTTTCTTTTTTTTCTTCTTTTTCTTCTCGTTTTACTTGAGCTTTACCTCATTCCTTTAAAATTATGATGAAAATCTTTGACTATTATTGTCAAAAGAAAACGAGTTTGAAATTAACATCAAAGAACGGATGTTAAAAGTTTCTTTTCTTCTTTCTCATTTATACTTTTTAACATGTGTAACAATTCTCTTCAGTCAGATACTTTCTTAAGTAGTATATACTCATATAAAACAAAATCATGTCAATTTTCAATCGAACAATATAAAGTAAACAAAAACTAATCTATTTTCTATTCAGAAATTGTTCGTAGATAAGCAATTCTAATGAAAAATTTTGTCGGAAAAGGTAAAAAAGATATTTACCGGAGTTTTCTATTTATTTCAATTGATGTTCATATCTTTTGAAATGATAATTATTATAAATAGATAAGAAATAATTAGGACTTTTTTTATTAATAGAAGATGAAAGAAATTTATTCAAAGAAAAAAAGAAGAAAAAGATAATCTTTTCACGCGAGAAAGATAATCAATCATTAAAAGAACAGACTAAAAACTTCCGATAAAAATCATTTCGGAGTAACAAAGAATTTTCAAAATATTTTCTCCTTTCGTTTTACATTATAAAAAACGTCCTTGAAGTTCATCTACTCAATGTGGATAAAAGATGAAATTATCTACTGAACAACATGTCTACTTCCTCTTCCTTTTCTTCAGTAATTCAATTATGCCATACAAATCATAGTATTGGTTGATGAGACTAAGAATAAAAGCAAAATGATAGATTAACAACGGTCACTTCGACCCAAGTCACGATGACATAGATTATTTCTTTGTGTCTCTCGTTTTTTTTCTGCACGTTTGAATACGAATGATAGAAAAAAAAAAGAAGAAGAACCGTTGTTAATGTCATTCAAGCGGCGTCATTCATTGCATAATATGTTAATAGAATAGTCAACATTGCTATTCGTCGTCAACGAGTCATTTCCATAATTTGAAACGAACAACACATCAATCTTGATCATGTCTTATTCATTCTTAACTTTTTTTGTAAGTTTTCTCATTTATTTTTCTTAATGAAAAATTCTTTTTTTGTTTTGTTTTGTTTGAAAAAAGTATTTAACGATTTTGATTGGTTTGACAACATCATCGACTTTATTGAATCAATTGAGAAAACATAAAACGATTACATTTCAGTCGAAATTTAGTTCACCGAAAGAAATTCAGATTGTTGAAAATACAAAATTTAATTTAACATGTTTATTTCTATCGAATTTTCCTCAAATTGATATTTTTTGGCTTCACAATGGAACATTAATTCAATCATTTCTCTCCAAAGTAAATATTTTATTTTGAAAAAAATTCTTTTCAACTCTTCTTTATTAGACAAAGGAAAATGAAGATGAAAATTCATTTCTTGCTGTTTCAATTGTTTCAACAATTTCGATTGAAAAAGTTCATTTTGATATGAATGGTTTTTATCAATGTATTGGAGTTCATCAAGAGATCTATGCTCAACAAACTTTTACTGTAAATCTCAATGTCAATGAGAAATCTGATGTTTATTCAATACCAACGAATTTTATTAAAGATTCATCTTTTATCGGTAAAGAAAGATTTGGAATCTTTCTCATTGAATTCTTTTCTTTTGAATAGTTCATTCAACACAAGCTTTGTTCGAACCAAGAAAGTCTCTATCGTTGTTTTGTCGTGTGGGTGCTCAGCAAAAACAATGTCGAATTCAGTGGTTTAATCCTAACGATGAATTAATAAATACACTCGGTGAAAATACGGATTTAGACATTACAAATGCAACATTTGAAATCAATATGGGCTTATATACATGTGAAATTTGTTGCACTGATCGTTGTCAAAAGTTAACATCGTTTGTTTATCCAGTAAGATTTGATGAAATAAGAGAGGGACGAATGTTTTCTAATTGTTTTTTTCTTTTCTAGGCTGAAGAAGATGAACAAAAGTAATGTTTATTTAATGTAATTATTTGTATGTAGTTCGTTTTGTTTTTGTATTCTTATCGTTTTTCTTCGAATAACTTGAAATAAAAAGAACAGATTCAGATAAGCAACCATTTTAATAAACGACTTTTTTTATTCAATGTTGAATATTGTCAAAAAAAACTCATGGTTAAAGATCAATCGAAAAAGAGTTTATACAAGCTTTCTTGTCGAGAGGATTTCAATGATCCCATCGCTTTCAGGAAATTATCAGAAGAAACAAGTCGTTTGAGTTTTCCCAGTCATATCTTATCTCGAACGCAACGCTTGCGAATGAACTTTAACGTTGCATTTTGTTTTATTTGTAGAGAGAAGGCAACCATTTCGAATTCTTTTTGTCTTGACACTTAATTTACGAAAGCTAAATTCAAGGAAAACCAATGAATATTTACAAAACATGAACGTGAAGTGGTTAAAAATATCATCCACGTGTTGCATACGACTGAAACACATTAGTTATGGACTAAATATTCCGAACGGTCGATGGTTAGAAGAACAGAAAAATTTAGTTAGGAAAATCTCCGTTTATCGTTCTCCGCACACGAGAGAAAGATATCTGAGACGAATACCAGTCACATGGTCATGAAAGTATATTTGAAATTATTCTCTAACAACATTAAATAGCATCCACTCTTCCCTGTCTTTTCTTCGTACTGTCGCATACTTCGACGACCCAATACCAATCGTTTTTTTTCACGTGAAAAGTGGGTATTTCGATGTTTTAGATAACTTTTCAAGTAAAATCTCGTCAATGAGTAGCGACACAAGGTGTAGCGCTTGTTATCAGACGAAAACCAAATATATAATGTTTAATTGCATTCATTTCGTCTGTATCGACTGCTCTCGAACCATGTTACGATACAAAGACGATTGGGAAATGGAGTGTTTCTGTAAGGAAATCACGGCAGTCAACATCATCGCCGATTTCGATCGTTGTTCTATTCGTTCAGTATGGCTTTTCCCCCTTCTTAAAAGCTATTTTATCTTTTTCCAATCTTTAGCAGAAGCCGGTTGCCGCTCCAACTCCTGCTGTGCCATCCTCCGTCTTCCCCGCTGCATTTACTCCAAGTTTTTCTTCAGAAAACAATTTATTACATCTTTCGACATATGGTGATGAACCTGCTCCGTTTATTCCACCAACATCTAATAGTGTTGCTGCTTCGTTTGGTTCATCACCCAGGTCAAAAAATCCGATCGGATTCCTGGAACGGAATTGCATTGGAATCCGACTAGGAAAATCCCGTCGGTTGTTGCAAATTTTATGAGCGATCTTTTCAGCTATGTTCTATGATGACCCTTAGAAAATCCAGGAAATCCATGCTTCGGATCCGAGTATGGGATTGTTCGACCTGGGCAGCGTCGGCAGAATCTGCGCCGTTTAGTACAACACAAAAGACGGTAAAATCTAGAATTGTGTGAAATAATGGAAGAGATCCGCTTTTTTAGTGCATGCTGAAGTTAATGAAAAAAGATGGGGTGTATTGTGAAGATTGTCGTGTAAAATTGGCCCAAAACTGTGTTGTTGCTGTAGTGGGCAGCCAAAGAAAGCCGCGAGTGAGTTGAACGATTTTCAGTTGTGGAAGAAACGTGAATTTTCTGCAGTTTATGAGTGTATTGTGTGCAGTGAGAAATGAGCACGCTCAGCGGATGGTCTGCAGCAAAGAATTGGATAAATTCAACATCGGAGAAGTGAACAGAATGATAAAAGAACATGAACTTTCTGTCCATTTAGTTTATCTTTGATTGTGTATAATTTCGTGCATTTTATATGCATAGAGTGGTGCAATACAACGAAGATAATCAGAATTTATTTTAGATGTATCATCACATGTTTTTTCGTTTTCGACAGAAAATAAAAGATACATCTAATTATTTTCGAGTACAATTAGTAAAGATTCAGTTTCGAAATTTATTCGTAGGAGTTCACTGACAAAGTTCTAATAGGTAACGATATTATTGAGCAAAGAAAAAGCATTCTGTCAATAGTTCAATCGATGGTAACCTAGAAAAACAAGTAGACAATGAGAAAAATCATTTAGTCGAGTTTAAGTCATAACCAGACCATCAATCCACATTCATCTGGTTCGATAACTACCTTATGTTGACAATTGGAAGTGAGCATGGATACATGATGATATAAATTTCTAATCGACTTCTGATGAATATAAGAATATTCGTGATTGGGGACACGTATAGTACGTCCTCGAAAGCAAAAGACAAAATCGACTAGCATTGGTATTTTTTCAACAATTGATTGACAATGCTGGTCTTCAAGTATAGTTTTATAGTCGTAAATAGTTATTCGCAGTGATTTCAGCAATGGAAGAATTGAAAATGTGCGCAATGAATTCCAATTCATCGTGGTAACAGGTTCTGAGTGGTAAGTAATGGTGAGATGCTATTGAATGATGAAGGTGTTGCGTATAGTTCTTGTTCATGATTGCATTGATGTAAAAGTGGTATCATATAGAATGTTTGAAAAGACCACGAATGAGTATACCACACCCAACGTCGATCAAATTGGTATCGAGACTTCTAAAACATTTGTCAATAAAATCAATTTGATCTTCAGTCTCAAAATTTGAATTTACTCTACTAAGTGACACAGTTGTAGAATATCCAATGTTGTACCAATAATTCACCATCAGTGCTGAGCCTCTTACTTCTTTTGGATAAGAAAAACTTCCATGTGGAATTAAATCTGTCGTAATCTTCAATACATCGATGGTCATTGAAAATCGAACATTGTTTGAAACGATCGAACTCGTGGTTATCCAGAGTTATCGATAACTTTACTCGTTGCAGCATCGGCATTATATCTTCACACGTCAATAATTCGATGAAAGCTAATTCGTTGTCAAATCTCCATATGAAAGGCTTCATGAATGTAAAACTACGCAATTGTTTCATAGGAGCTAACTGTTGTTTATTTGGTAGACGAGACAGCATCGCAGATAGAATATCACTTAAAGAGATGTACAAATATTTTAATGTTTCCGGTAAAGGTGGTGTTGATATCAGACGAACTACATCGGACGGCCACCACAAGGAGACACGCAGAAAAGTAAGTCGGGCACATATATGTGTTATGCGCCAATCATGTATCCCATTGAAATCATTTGGTCCGAAATCAAGCGATCGAAGAGAATGTAAGTGACGAAATATAATATTTTTCACGATCGAGATTAAATTGCACTTGGGATGAATGTATTTCTATGTCACACTACTCTTTAAATAAGAAAGACGCATTAAAAGCTGTACAGATAAGTTCCATTTATGATTACATCTATCTCAAAAAAATATTTATAACTTTACTTACTGATTCAATTTCAAATCTTGTATCAATCGTCAAATGAGTTAATGTTGCTGCGTGTAATAACAANATTGTTGTCGCTTCTGCTGTAGGTAAAGGTGGAAATTCCTCCTCTTTGAAAATAGTTGATGCTAATGGTTGTTCTTGTTCTTCTTTTGTTTGATCAGTTGTGACTGCAGGTGAAGACAGAGGTGGAAAATCTTCTTCAGTGAAATGTACTTCTTCTTGAATATTATCTTCTTCCGTTATCGATTCATTTGGTGTTTGATTTACTTCTTGTTCTTGTTCTTGTTCTTGGTCAGTTTCAGCAAGTTCAAGGGATTGTTCAATTTCTACGAATGAATGATTATTGGATGAACTTTGATCATTCGATAATTCCACAGGTGAAGTTTCGTTTTCTTCATGATGTTCATAAGGTGTTTCCAGTTCTGTCAATGGACGATCATCAGTTATATTTGATTCAGATTCTGTTCTCGAATGAGTTGTTTCAACTTCACTCGGTGTTTGTTCAGTTGGAACGACAGGTGGTGGGACTTCATCTTCGTCAAGTTCTCGTTGAGCTTTGAGTTCGATTGGTTTCTCCTGATAGTCGATTTCCGGACTTGAATCAATGTTTGAACTTTCCTCATGAACTAATAATGGATCGAAAGAACTTTCATTGGCATCGTCTTCGATCGAATCATTTCCATTCAAATAATTCGGTGATGAATCATCATTTGATGATCTTTTGTCGTGTTGAATTAGTTCTGTATTGATCTCGTCGGCCATTCGACGAGTTGACGAATAAATAAAGAAAAATAAACAAATCTACAAAGATAGAATCTGATAAGAAAGTATTTCAATTCTTGAGAAATTTAGTTTGTGAAAGAAAGAAACAAAAGGATTGTTTATTTTACTTCGATGATCTGTGTGATGATGAGCTATTTTTTGAGTATTTCTGTTGAGTTTCACTTGATGTTAATCTTCTTTTTGATGAAAGTAAAGGTGGATCATAATTTGTTCCGATATCATTCATTGAACGTTTATCTTCGTCGATTGGAATCAATTTCAATCCTAAAGTCGAATAACTTTCACCAGTCAATTCTTCATTCGTTGTTTTAGCAAATGAAAGAATCTTTTTCAAAGCTAATTGAGTTTGTCGATAACTAAAAAGAGACTTTTGATGTTTGAAAAATGAAGAAATGAAAGTAAACCGTTGATGAATTTGATTTGTTTGTTGGTCAATAAATAGTTGTCGTTCAGCTAATCGAGCATGTTCACCACGAATTTGATGAAGACGTTCTTTGACTAAATGATATTGTTTTAATAAATTTGTGTGATGATTTTGAAGACTTTTCAATTGATTTTCTAATTGAGAATTTTCTTCTTCGACAGATATGCAAATCGATTTCAATGAACGTTCACTTTCTTCATACGTTCGAAGGGCTTGTTCGAGAACATTCTCTTTTTCTATTTAAAACAATTGAATTTGTTAGAAAGATGAAAAGATTCATAAAACTTACCTACCAATGAATGTGGACAATCCATTTGATGTTTTTTTTCAATACGAAATAGATCAATTCACTCGAGGCAAATTCGACATCAACCAAACCAAATCCTTTTCTTCTCAAATAAAATCTGGTAAAATGTGGACTTTTATCTTCAACAAATAAATAACAAATTTTAAATGAGAAAATATTTCTTTCCATAGGAATTTTAATCGAAAAATTCATTCAATTATTTTCAAGATGAAAATTGTATTTAACTCCATCTATTTTACTCAATGAACGATGACACCAATCTCGTTTCTTTTCTTTCCGTATGTATGATGAATTGTAGTAATCTATTATCCTCTAATTTCAATATAAGAAAAAGAAAAGTTTAATGTTCGAGAGAATTTCGTCAGTACTACACATGAAAAAACAATTGAGAAAAGCGTTTAATTTATAAACTAAACGTTAAATAAGACAAAATGAAGCAAATGTTGCTGGAGCATCATTATTCATAATAATTATTGATTGGTATTACTTCATTGACTTTTTCCATCACCAATAGTAACTCGTACGTAAGCATTATATGATATAGATTCACCAGATACATCAACTTGACATTCGAAATACATCGTTTCAGTAGATGTATCATTGAATGGGACAATGATCAGATCATTTCCTTGTTGCTATTTTAATCAAATACATGATGATGGTTCGTTTGTTTTCAATTTTCAATACATACATGAGCATAATCAGGAAGACTAGTATTATAAGCGAATTTATTCCATGTAACTCGATATTGTTGAGCACCTTTCACATCACATTTCAAGATTGTTCTTTCATTAGCTTCAATTATAATTTCTTTTGGTTGAATCGTTACTTGAACAGATTCTCGTTGTTGACTACGTCGTGGTTTTACATTTATACGTAGATTTTGTCGACTTTCACCATATGAATTACGTACGATAACCTGATAAGTTCCAATTACATCTAATGTAGCACGTTGAAGAATAAGTCGATTTGATTCGATTATAAAGGCAGATGAAATTGATTCATAACTATGATTTACATATTTCTTCCAAGCTATTTCAACTGGATCTTCTGACTAGAAATAGAAATTGTATTCATTTTGTAATATTTTTTTTCATTCTTCACTCACAATAACTGTATACTCGATAATCAGTCGTTGACCTTCAACTAGATCGATGATTTGTGGACGAAAAATTATTTTTGGTAAACCACATACAAAAGAAAAATAACAAAAGATAGTAGAGAAGTTTAGTTTTATTTTAATCATACTTCGGGACAAATTGTGTGTTTGCTTACGTTTCACTTGAATTTCATATGAAATGCGTAAAAGTTTACCTTCATTATTCATTAGTGTGCAATTATACATTCCAGAGTAACGAGAAGTTGCATTTGTAATCATTAAAATATTGCCATTTTGATAGATACCCGATGGAAGTCTTTGACCGTTGCGGAATACACAGTAAGCTAAATAATATCCCGATCGACATCGAATTAATTGACTTTCTCCTTCGTTAATAGATAAGGGACTTGCCGGATCGAATACTGGATGAACAATGTCATCTGGTTTTTCTTATAAATAAAAATCTTCACTTAGATTTTATCTTTTTTTATCTATTTACTTGAAAATGTAAGAATAATAGAGGATTCTACATAGCGATGATTGGCAATTGTACAACGATAATTTCCTGACTGTGATGGTGTAACTGGATCAATAAGAAGGATTTTTCCACGAGGATAGAAGGGATGCCCATTAACAAGACGCTTAAATCATTATGAAAAGATACAAATAGATAAATGAATTTGTAAAAGATTACACTTAAACTAAAACAGATACCTACCTGATTGTTAAAATACCATTTTATTTTGCTTTCATCGTACGAATCTGCGCCTGTACATTCAATTTCTACATGATCTTTACCATTCGTATTCGGTGCAATAATGCGCAAAGGTTTAAAACCAAGATTACTCTATAAGACGAATAAGAGCCAAATAGATTTTAATTCTATGCAAAACTTACCCTTCCAAAATTTTGGTCGTAAGTATCAGAATCTATTTGCGTAGAAACAGTATCGGTGACAGTGTTGCCGTTTATATCTCGCGCGACACATGTATACTTATCCAGAGAATTTGGAAACGCAACTGTAATATGCGTTTTGTGTGTTATTTGCCAAGGTAAAGCACTTTTAATCTCTTTATCGGTGAAGACGTAACGCTAAAACGATAGGTATAGAGCCTTATTTGAGACAAACGATGATGTTGTTTGAGAATTTTACTCGATAGAGCTGTTCATGACTCCAGTAAATATGTGTACTCGCATCCACACCGTAGACGGTACAAGTTAGCTCATAAGTTATTTGTCCACGATGTATTTGAAGTATTTTAGGACCAACAACAACTCGCAGTTTCACTGCATCAATGATACTTAATCTATCGAATGTTGATGTTGTTGAGTCTATTCAATAAAACAAGATCAACTTTAGATATTTGAATTAAGAAAATCATCAAATACTATCTATGACATGTCACGTACCGTCAGTGTCATTGAACTGCGTTGAATTTTCAACATCGAACAAAGAACTCTCGGCAGCGACGGGGTTACTATCCGTGGACGTAATCGCTGGGTCAGTACTGATGGCACTATCCGTAGATGAAGTCGTTGGGTCAGTACTAACGGTACTATCTGTGGACGTAATCGTGGAGTCAGTACTGACGGAACTATCCGTAGATGAAGTCGTTGGGTCACTACTAACGGTACTATCCGTAGATAAAATCGTTGAGTCAGTGCTGATGGTACTATCCGTAGATGGAATCGTTGGGTCAGTACTAACGGTACTATCTGTGGATGAAGTCGTTGGGTCAGTACTCATAGTACTATCCGTAGATGAAGTCGTTGGGTCAGTACTAACGGTACTATCTGTGGACGTAATCGTGGAGTCAGTACTAACGGAACTATCTGTAGATGAAGTTGTTGGGTCAGTACTAACGGTACTATCCGTAGATGAAATCGTTGAGTCAGTACTAACGGTGCTATCTGTGGATGAAGTCGTTGAGTCAGTGCTGATGGTACTATCTGTGGATGAAGTCGTTGAGTCAGTACTCATAGTACTATCCGTAGATGAAGTTGTTGGGTCAGTACTAACGGTACTATCCGTAGATGAAATCGTTGGGTCAGTACTCATGGTACTATCTGTGGATGAAGTCGTTGGGTCAGTACTAACAGTCAGATAATGTGATGAAGAGAAATAAGAACTGTTATATTGAGTAGTATCCGTTGAAAAGGTTGATATTGTGGAAGCTTCTTGTTCAAATTCATCCATTGGGATTGCTACGATTTTCTGTAAAGGAGTCCAATTCAACAAAAGTAGGAAGAATAAATCTAGTGTCACTCTCATTGTTTTTAATAATATGGAGATATAGATAGAATGTTCTTTGCTGGTACTGTTTCCGACTTATATTGCTAAAGACTATTTTATAACTTTCACCACCTATGACTAATATTAATATATGAAATTGCCCCAGACACGCTTAGATAGCAGCATGGGAAAAATTCCTTTCACTTGAAATTGCGACAACAAAACATATTTTGTACAAACAGAAAGTAGTAGATTATATCTTATCTTATGAGAAGATGACATGTCAGAGTTGAAAGAAGTATCTCATAAGCACAATCCTGTTTCTTTTAACACCGAATGATATGTACAGACCTCAAGATCATGTTTACAATAAAGAATATTATATTTATTAAAATTCCTCCACAAAATTCAATTTGCTGTGATAAACTGTCTTTAAAAAAATCGGTTGATTTATCAATAATACCATTTTCAAACGAGATTCAATGATGTGTTTTGCAAAAACTTAACAACAGACTTATCGAAAAATGATGTTCTTTTTTATTTGATAAAACTGAACCCCTATCTAGATCTTCAAATATCCAGATTTGTTCACTCGCTTTTCGCCTATCGTATGAGAGCGACATCTTTTTCCACCCTGTGATTGTAAAATATGTTTTGAGGGTTTTGATCTCTATTACAATGGACGATCCTCACAAGATGCGAAAGTACAAAGTATAATACGATCATTCATCAACGAATGATTTCGAAAGAACGAACGAGAATGAAATCGTAAATACATTCTTTCCTTTTCATTTCCAGATAAAATCTCTTTGAGAGAATATCAATCATCATGATATTCAGTGTTGTTACTAAGACTGGATCAAAATTATTTCCCGTATGTATTTCTTTTGTTCGATTGAATCGACTTCATTATAGTTGATTTATTCTATAGAAACATGATTTAACAAATTCATTGTTGAATAAAGAACGTCTATCATTCAGTGCAGCTGTTTTAATGTCACTCGTTGGACTTGGTTTATCAGTATTTAGTACGAATCAGATTCTACTCGCCTCATCATCTGCACGACCAATTCTGTCATCCAAATCCCCGTGAAGATCTTTCATTCGTTCTTCTGTTCTCTTTTCATGTTTTTGTGTAGCTATAAAGATGTGGAAAGAGAAATTGTTTCGTATGATATCTTTATTCAAATGAAGAAAGTAAAAAATAAATCAATAGTACCAATGAATTTTCTCGTTTGTTTTTAATATTTTTGTATTGTAAAGATTGAATTTCAAATGAGAAAAGAAAAGAAAACTGATTTCGAACCTGAGGTAAATGTCTATTGATTTATTTTTTCAATTCATCATCATACCTCTGTTCACCTCGTAGATTTTAATAAAAAAGAAAACTCGAATTGCTGGCGGCATTTGTTTGTTGTCCAACGAATTGTGTATTTTTCTTTCCTGCAAAAACACGTCGCGATAAAGAGCACGAGACTGTCTGGAGTCTCGTTCCTTCAAGATTGAGTGCAGTCAATGTACTTAGTAGAAAGAGAAAATAAGGTCAACTTAGGCTTCTCATACACATATTTTGGAATTTTGAATAGACACAACGTTTAAAATAATGTTTGTACGAATCAATACATTCTTTGTCTGTTTATTGATCCTGTTGTTATTTTCCAACACAATCAAATACGATTTTGACGTCCTATTCATTGATATCGAAGCAAACTCTGTCTCTGTCTTGATCTATCAGAAGTTCAAAAAGAATATTCATCGTTCGATGTCAAGTCATTTCCTTCCCAATAATCACATTTTTAAAATAAGCAGATTAAACAGAATAATATGGTGAATATTTCGATGATGTATCTCATAATGATCTACATAAAGCGATTCTATTGAGACATTATCTTTTACGTCTTTCGCTTTTTTCAATTAAATAAAGATCCAAACATACGTGACTTGTTGTTGATGTAATATAATATGATCTGCGCATATAAATCTGTTGCTGATACTGGTTTTAATCTTCGTGTCATGTATAATTAACATTTAATGATAAATTAAAGAAAACGCTTTATTCTCATTGCCAGTCGATTATCTCCATCTATACGTTGTGTATAGATAATCTATGTATTGATGTTTTCATCTTTGAAATATTTCTTCTTTCTTTCTTTGCACTATTTCTATTGGGTGTACTAGCACCAGGGTTCAGTATAAAAATTCAACGAAGAAAAATGAATTCTCGGAGCAAAAGGAACATGATTGAGAATTTGTTGAAAAATAACTTTCATTCTAATACTGAGAAGGTCGATATCAAATAGTTTCATATGAACATGTTCTTCTAACTAATGTATCTAATTCATCATCTCTTCAATCGTACTTGATACTAAACTAGATCAAACACTTTCATGTGTCAGAATATTGTATTATGATATCATACAAAATGACGTTCTAGGATGATGGTTCCTGACAGCGATGAGCAATGTAAGACTATCTAATACTTCTTTTCTCTCAAATTAAACAGGTACAATCAGTTACAAGGTATAAAAAGGTCATTTCGACGTATATATTTTGAAATTTAAACAAAAATATTTGATTTAAAATCGAAATGTTGGACAATTCATCGAGGAAGCGAGTACGTGATTTCTTCCATGATCCACAACAAGTGCAAGTGGATGTTCGGTTTGTTGTTTTTCTTGATTTGATATTGTTTCTGCTGCTTTTTGAATATAATCATGAGCCACTTTATAATCACCACGTCGTTCATAGGCTAAACCAATATTGTGTAGTGTTCGAGTTATGTCCGGATGACCACTTGGTAATGAAAGCATTTGGATTTCAAATGCTCGTTTGTAATTTTCGATTGACAGATCAAGTCGATCAAGACCAAAATAAATGTTACCAAGTGTTGCAAATGTTGACGCTTGATTTGGATGAGCACCAGGAAGACAATGTTGAAAAAGCTTTTGTGCTTTCAAAGTATTGACCAATGCTTCATCATACTAGATAAACAACAAATATTCTATCATTCGTTCGAGTTTATACAAATACACTCTATACCTGTTTTCTGTCACACTGAATTGTACTCAAATTGATTAAAGTTCCAGCGACATCCACATGTTTTTTTCTCACACTTTTTCTGAATAGTTCTAAAGCACCTATAAAACATTGTAAAGCTTCATCATCTCTTCCCATAGCTGAGAGTACAATTCCAATGCCATTCAAAGCTTTTGCCGCACTTGCTAAGCGTTTCGGTTTGGCATATGCATGTAAATTATAAGCACGAAGATAAGCATGAAACGCTTCTTCTAAATTATCTCTTAAACGATGTGTACGTCCAAAATTAAAATAAATACAAGCAATTTCTTCATCATTTGGTTTTGACGAGTTTAGAATATTATCGAAATACCTATTCGCTTTTTCATATTCGCCCATTTCGAGAAGCAAATGACCAAATAAGAGAACAACATTGGCATCCATCATTTTCTTCTTTTGATATTCTATATATTCAGCGGCTAAAGCAGCACCTTGATCGGTTGCTTGTACTTGTACATGATACAAATTATCTGTTGGATCATAGGTACATGATTCAATTCGAAACGCAGCACCTAAATTGAAAGATACTTTTTTTTTTAAAAAGAAAATTTTCTTTTTTATTTTTCTTCTCACCTATATCAACAAGCATTTCTGCTTCTTCTGGAAAAGCGGAATATTGTGCAATATCAGCAATCACAATACTTTTCACTTGACTAATATCAACTTGATATTCGAAAAGTGCTTGAACAACACCAACTCGATTATTTGGTTTTGTTGCAAATCCATATGCAACAGCACGATCATAACTTGTTGACAAATAACCATTCGTTGCGATCAAATTTCCAATACTTTTTTGAAAATTTTCCACTTCAGCTGGATTGAGACACGATCCACGATACAATTTAATTAAATTCTTTCCTTTAGTTTTCAAATCTTCAAATTTCAATTCGAGTTGTTTGCAAAGATCAACAATATAAAAACGAAAATGATATAAAATATCGACATCTTCCGTACGTAATGCTTTGTTAACAAATCTGTATAAAAAACACTCCTTTGTATACCATTGAATAGCTTCATCAGATTTATATGTCATATCAAATTCATTTATGTTGGCCAATTCAACCAAATTTCCTCGATAAAATTCTTTGCATTTTGAAACCATCATTTGCTTCGCTTCTTGTGTTTTCGGCATATTTAATATCACAGTTTTAAGTAATTGAAAAAATAGAAATGAAGCAGATTCTTTACTTAAATCTCGTGTTGCTTTATCTTTTTGATTATAAACACTGAATGCTGCTGTTTGTTTTGCAATTTCATTGCGAGTTGATTGAATTATATTCACAAGATTTTCGGGATTTTCACATCGGGTTATCGCACGACTAGTCTGTGCTGAAGTCGGCTCATTTTCATGATTACCAAATGATTTTGAATAGACAATAAGTGAATCGACTTGTGAGAGACTCTTGATAGATTCAAGAAGACTTTCTGATGGTGATTTATCAAGAATTAGAAGAACCTTTTTGTCTGATAATGATTTTATCGAATCAACACACTCATCTTCTGTTTGATTTATCTGAAATAAATAAAATAAATATGAATACACGATTTGTATTCGAACCTGACCTGAATTTCATTATTATTAAGCGATCTGAGAACTTCGACAATTGTATCTTTTGGTGGTCCACTTGCTAAATAAACCATTATTGTATCATCATCACTGACTGTTGGTTGTTCAGTTTGATTCGGCGATTGTTGATCTCTTTGTTGCTCATTTCGATCACGTCTTCTACTTTTTTTCTCTTTTTCTTTTCCATCATTTTGCTTTTTGCCCAAACGCCATTTGAAAAAAGGCATTTCACCAAGTAAAGAATAGTAGACGTTATACTTCATTTCTCTCATCGACAACATATTTATATTGATAGTTATGCATGATCGAGCAAAAGTTATTCGTCAAATATATTTTGAAGATATTATCGTTATGTACTTTTTGATTGAAACAAATTATTGATGTATTTCACGATCAAATATCATCAACGAACAGTAATTGTACTTAATGCGTCATCACATGGGGAGAAAAAGTGAGTACATTTTCCAGTACGTAAAAAATGTTTTGGATAGAAAATTCCACTTGATTTCTGCTAAGTAGGTTGAACCGAAAGAAATCTTATCGATAAACTTTGATCGGATAGAATCATTTGAAAGTGACTTTTATGGATATTTGAATTTATATGATAAATAAACAGTATCAATCAATAGAAATCTCTCACTTATTGATATATCTTTTTGATAATGATACTCGCAGTATTTGTGTTATAAATTCAAATATCTATTATATTATAGAATATCAAAAATGAAAGAAATTAATGATTTTGATTAGAGTCAGTCTATGGACTTTTTCTTCTATTACACTTCAATCAAAACTATGATTCATTTGAGAAGAAGCGAAACGTCTATCTTCGCATGTATGAATCATTATTAACAGTCGTGTTGAGCGATAAAAATATGAAGAGATCGAATTTGAAGTCAATATAACATTTAATTGACACAAAGATCAATGATACAAAGACATTTGTTCTTTAAGAATTTGGTCGTAATGGTCTGTTAGTTATCTTTTATCAATGACTTTTGTATTTAATGATTCGCCCTTCTTGACCTATGATACAAAGAACGAAAACATGCGTCGTCTTAATGGTAGTTTGTATGAAAGAGAAATACGATATTCATTCAAAAGGTATTAATCTACATATATATATTGTTTATACACATATTGTGCAGTTTGTTTATCGAAAGTCAAATCTCGATATTTCAACTTATTTTATGACTTTAAATGTTTCCATTACCAATTACAACAGAAAAACCAACAGAAATTTTAGAATGTGATGAAAAAACTCCAGATTCACATGTCGCAAGAGATGCACGATTAATTCGATTAACGGGAATTCATCCATTCAATTGTGAACCACCATTAAAACTTCTCTATGATCATGGTTTTTTAACTCCAACTGAATTATGGTTTGTTCGTAATCATGGACCTGTTCCAAAAATATCTGACGAAGATATTTCTAATTGGACGATTCATATTGAGGGAATGATTGAAAACCCCATGTCATTTACACTGAATGAACTTTTCAAATTTCCTCAAATAACAATTCCAGTCACAATGGTTTGTGCAGGAAATCGACGTAAAGAACAAAATATCATACGAAAAGGTCATGGATTTAATTGGGGAAGTGCTGCCGTTAGCACAGCTTTATTTACTGGAATCTTAATAAATGAAATTCTTCAATTAACTAAACCAAAATTGGAAACAAAATACATGTGGATGGAAGGTATTGATCAACTTCCAAATGGTCATTATGGAACAAGTATTCGTTTATCAACTGCAATGAATCCATCGATGGGTGTTATGTTAGCTTATAAAATGAATGGTGAATTCTTAAGACCTGATCATGGACGTCCTCTTCGTATTGTCATTCCTGGACATATTGGTGGAAGAAGTGTTAAATGGTTAAAACGAATTATTCTTAGTGATAAACCAAGTGATAATTGGTATCATATTTACGATAATCGAGTTTTACCAACAATGGTAACACCTGAAATAGTGGAACATGATAAATCTTGGTACAAAGATGAACGATATGCTTTATACAATCTTAATATTCAAAGTGTCATTTGTTATCCGACTCATGATGAAATAATTGAAATTGAAGAAGATAAATATTATCATATTCGTGGATATGCTTATAATGGAGGTGGAATACGTGTTGGAAGAGTCGAAATCTCTCTTGATCAAGGTCAAACATGGAAATTGACAACGATTAACTATCCAGAAGATCTTTATCGAAAAATAAAATCAGATGAAGAACTTTTCGGTGGAAAATTAGATATGTCAAATCGAGAAAGTTGTTTTTGTTGGTGTTTTTGGAATATCGAAATTTCAATAAATGAACTTTCAAAAGCAAAAGATATTCTCGTTCGTGCAATGGATGAATCAATGAATATTCAACCACGAGATATTTATTGGAATATTCTCAGTATGTTAAATAATTGTTGGCATCGAATAACAATTACAAAACAAGATAATACAAATCAATTATTATTTGAACATCCAACAATACCTGGTTTGACAAAAGGTGGATGGATGGAAAAAGTGAAAGAACAAGGAAGAAATCTTATCGATGGATTTTGGGGATCACAAAATGAAATTTCTAATGAATATCTATCATCGAATATTAAAATGACAAATGATTCAATAACAGAAATCATCACTGAAGAAGAATTATCCAAACATAATAAAAATGATGATACATGGATTGCAATCAATGGAAATGTTTATGATGTAACTCGATATTTAAAAGAACATCCCGGTGGTGCAAATTCGATTTTATTATCAAGTGGTACGGATGCTTCTGAAGATTTCTTAGCTATTCATAGTGATCATGCAAAATCATTATTAACTCAATATCATATTGGAATTCTCAAAACAAATTCAAATAACGACACTCAACGAGAAGTATTTCTTTCACAAAAACAATGGAGAAAAGCCAAATTAGAGAAAAAAATCAATGTTAATCATGATACGATACTTTTTACATTTACATTGGAACATTCGAAACAAACATTAGGTGTACCGTTGGGAAAACATTTATTTATTCGATGTTTCACTGAATTACATACAAAACTGATTCGAGCATATACACCAATATCTGAACCAAATCAATGTGGAACATTTGATTTACTTATTAAATTATATCGAACACCAAAAGCTGGAAAAATGTCTTTATGTATGAATGCATTGAAACCAGGTGATACAATTGAATGTAAAGGACCATTTGGAGATTTTGAATATCATCAGAATAAAATCTTTTCAATTCACGGCATAGAGAGAAAGATTAATAAACTGACGATGATTGCTGGTGGAAGTGGAATTACGGGTATTTATCAAATATTTCAACATGCCTTTCGAGATCATATTCAATGTAATTTAATTTATTTTAATAAAACAGAAAAAGATATTCTTTTACATGATGAACTTCAATCTTTAAAACAAGTTCAATTTATTATTACACGTTTAAATACAAATTCCAATCAACATTTAACTCTAAATCAAATACAAGATGTTCATGATGGTTTATTACTTTGTTGTGGTCCACCTGAAATGTCTGATGATGTTTATCAACTTGCAAACGATGCTGGATGGAATGTCAATGAACAATTTATTCGTTTTTAAAAATAAGATTATTCCTTATCGGTTACTTCCATTGGAATTGATATTAACATTTGTACGAAAAACTTTTGTAGCGATTTCAATCATTTTCTTTCTTTCAATTTACCGATTTCCTTCGAGCCATTCTCATTTATCTTAAATAATTCACAACATCAACTATAGTTGATTGAATAAACTTTCTTATTTTGTATACTTAGATCTCAATTGAATTTTGTTTTCTTTCGTTTTCTGATATTTGTACGATTTTTACTAATTGAATTTGTTTGACTTTATTTTTCCGAGACATTCCTTCCTAATTTTTCTCCCTTTTCGGACTTCGCTGATACTGAATGTTAAATTTTAAAAATCTATTGAATGACCATACATATATCCCGTTCATTATATTCGAATAGTAGAGATCCGGATACTAGCGCCATCTTCAGACAAGATTAAATTATCATAATCAACACGATTTATTTTACAAAGAAAAAATTCTGGAATAGAATTCGTATTGATTTTTCAAATGAAAATTTTTAAATAAAAATTTCATTGGAAAATTGATTAGTTAAGGTAATGATCAAATGGAGACATTTCGTTGGACCATCTTTGTTTAGTCAGACTAGATTTAATTCTGTTTAATCATTGAAATATTTCGTTTTAAAATAGTACGAAAAGAGAAGTCTTGATAAATCTTCAAGGAGCATTTCATCAAGACCAGATTTCTTTATCCATCATTTAATTTTATTATTTTTGTATATAAATCATGTAAGTTTGTTTTTTTTCCAAATATTTAATTCAATTTTGTATTTCTTTCTTTTGTAAAGGAAACGACATCATGAAGATAATCCCTACTCATCGACAGATAGTGGAGGAGGAAATTTATCAAAACGAATGGCAATCAGAACGGATCTTCAGACAAAGTAATGGATTTATAAACACAGAAAAAGTTGAAATTTTATTTGTTTTTTTTTTTCAGTTCGATGAATATTTATTCTCATCCGGAAAATTATTCACCACCAAGTTCAAATGAATCCGATTCGTCATCGTCATCAACATCATCGACAACAAATTCGACGAGTTTAATGAATTCAATTCATTCTCAGTTATGTATATGTCCCAATCGAGATTGTGTTATCCATGATATTCAACGTTTAACAACAATTCCTTCGGAATTATCAACAACATCCAATCCAACCTATGGAAATAAAAATCTTTTACTTTATTATGCACATCTGGAACGATGTCGTCGACATGGATTAAATTTTCATCAAAACATACCATTATGATCTTAATTTTTATTTGTTTTCTTTCTTTGTATTAGCGCATGCTAAACAAAAAACATATACATATATATATATAAATACATTTTCTTCTGAACAAATCGAGATTCATTTCTTTTTAAATTCTAGACAAGATATGGCAACACCGAATACACCATTTACAACACCGGGTGAACCACTTGGAAATGATGATTGGATGATTTCAAGAAAATTAGATACAATTTGTTTATTTGATGTGGATGGAACAGTAACTATACCACGACAATCGATAACACCGGAAATGGATATGTGTCTACAAGAAGTTAGAAAGAAGTGTCTCATTGGTTTAGTTGGAGGATCTGATATTGTGAAAATTGCTGAACAAATCGGAGGAACACAAGGTGAGTTTTATTTTAGAAAAATTTCATTGTCAAACAATGTTTTGTTGATGTAGCAATTGCGAAATATGATTATGTTTTTGCTGAAAATGGTCTTGTTGGTTATAAAAATGGAGTACAATTTTTCGAAGAAGTTTGTTTCACTTTATCGAAAAAAAAGATTTTTCTTTAGTTAGAAATTCTTTTCTAGAATATTCAAAAGTATGTTGGTGATGATGATTTACAAACACTTATTAATTATTGTCTAAAATATTTATCTGACATTCGTTTACCATTTAAACGGTATTTTCGATCTTTTTTTTTCTTCTTTCGTTAATATAAATCGAGAATTTTTAGTGGAACTTTTATTGAATTTCGTAATGGTCTTATCAATGTTTCTCCTGTTGGTCGAAATTGTACACAGAAAGAACGAGATCTATTCGAAGCTTATGATTCCGTAAGGTTACTCTTCTTAAAATTTTCGTTTGTAACCGTTTTCTTTTTTCGTCTTTATAGGTTCATAAAATTCGCGCAACAATGATCAAAGATCTTGAAGAAAAATTTGCGCATCTAAATTTAGTTTATGCCATTGGTAAAACTTATTTTCTTCTAATGTCATAAAATTTGGTTTTCGGTTTAGGTGGAAGTATCAGTTTCGATATCTTTCCAGAAGGTTGGGATAAACGCTATGCGATAAAACATTTAGAAAAAGATAATATTAAAAATATCTACTTTTTCGGTGATAAAACATTCAAGGTAAGTCAGTTAAAAAGAGTTTTGTTAGTACGAGTGCGATGAGTTGTTCCGTGTAGGGTGGCAATGATTATGAGATTTATAATGATCCCCGAACAAAAGGTTATTCGGTGACAAATCCAGTGGAAACTCGTGCTCATTTATACGAATTATTTGGATCTTAAGGGTTTAGACTTTTTAAAAGACGTTTATTTTAACCAGAAACAGAATTTGAATAAAATTTATCAGACTATTTTTTTTTCTTCGGACGTTTTTTTTCGTGATTTTCTTCTTGTTTAAGTATACACGATGCTCTTCCTCGATGACCAATTCGTTTTTTCATTTCCTGTTCAATTGTTTTCTCATCAATAATTCCTCGTATTGGAATTGCTCGTAGAATTTCTTGTAGATACCATTCAGGCATTAAATTCGCGTGTCGTTGATTGGATCTTTTGATTTGTGTGTAACGAAAAGGAACACATTGCGGTAAATCAACTTGCACAGCTTCTCCAGTCAATGGATCGATTTCTAAAGGTTGAGGAATATAAGCAAATGCGTGAATTGTATTTGGATCATCAATATGAATTGTTTGTTGAATTAATTGAAGAAATGAATAAAGATAAGAAAGACAATATTTAAGATAAAGATCGTAACGAGAAAGAAACTTCCAGATAAGTTTTTGAATAGAAAATAAATCGATTTGATTAATAGTTCCATCATTAGAAGATTTGTAACCAATCATGAGTGTGTTGACATTTGCTAACCACATTTGTGCCCACCAGAAAAGTGTTTGTAATTTATTTTCATCGCGATAGAAGATTTTTTTGTTTGTACATTTCATTTCGACATAACCAGCTTTGATTTCATTTTCAAAACGTTTTTTCTTGTCAACTGTTTCGTTTTCATCAGTTTGAATAACTTCAAGATTTTCATTGATTTGAGCCACTTTATTTTCATCTTCAACTACATCGTCCCTATCTTCTTCTTCTTCTTCTTCGTTTTCTGTCGATTGTGTTAAATTGACTTTTACTGACTCATCCGTCTAAAAAAAAGAATCGCGAGAAATGAGAATTAAATTTATTAAAACATCTCGTACTTGTTTCGGTATCATATCTTGATGAATTTCTCCATCAATTTCATTTGAATAGAGAATATTAAATTCTCCAAATCTCCAATATTGTACAGTATGAAATTGTTCTTGAGGTTTGTCTAGAGGAATTTGTTCTTCAAATCTCGTTGTATTCGGTTGTTGTGTTGTAAAAAGTTGTTCAAATTTATATCCACTATATTCATCTTCTGTCATATTTTCTACATGTCTCGTTGCTTTATTTGCAATGGCTAAATAGAATTGTCCTTTGATTCGAACAACAAGTAATTTCCATGGATCACTATCACAATAAAGATTAGCTAAAATTGTTCGTAAAACTAATCTTCGACAGATGAATGTTGGTGGTTTTAATAGAGTAGAATTTGTTTTCGAGAATAGATGTTGTTTTTGTGAATACCAGGAAAGTAATGGACGAAGATCAGTTCCATCATGAGGACGAAAATAATTCTCAGGATTTAATCGAGCTTTTTCTTTGAATTCTTCATAACCACGATAAACATTATAAGAACATTGAGTTCGTTGTTTAGGAATGTGAACATAACGTTTGAATGATTTATCGAGATGATAAGTTGGTTGAGCAAGTGAAGCATCGTAAGAAATGTAACCGATTTCACGACGAAGACGTGACCAAGTTTTCGGTGGTTCACGTTCGTAATCCGATCGAAATAAACATGGACCAAGTTTAATAGGAGAACTTTCACTCGCTTTAATATCGTAAGATTGAGAAATATTTTCATTTAATAGAATTTCACATGTTGTTATATCTGAAAAGTTAAAAAAGAAATCATTTAGAAAATGAAAATTATTTCAAATGAACCTTTGAATGATTGTTGTTCATCGAAATCATTTTGTATTTGTTCTTCTCCAATCGCAATGGTTTCATTTCCTTTGAATTCTAAATGTGAACTTTCCGTTGAATCAAATTGTTGTTTTTCTTCACTTTTTATCGACATATGTTTACAACGATAACGACGAAATGCACGAGCACTGATTTCATCACTTTCAATGAGAATTTGTTCAAGTGAAATACTTGTTGCGTCTTCAGGTGAATAGAGATGATGAAGAATTTCATTTGGTGAAAGATTTTGAATGAATATTTTCAAATCGTTTAATGACCATTGACAAATTGAGTTTTGTTCATCGATTCCGAAGTTTTGTTTCATTTGAATTGAATCAATGATGGTTAATAATTGTTGTTTCAAATCATTCGATGATAAACTTATCGTTTGACAAAATATTGAATCATTTAATGAGAAAATTTGTAAATTCTTCTCATCATCGATCGATAATTTCACTTGAAGATCTTCCGGAATCGACAATTGTTCTCGATCATTACTTGGTAAACTAATTAAATAAGATAAAATCAAGTTTTCTTTGAGTAAATCCAATGACCAATGAAGTGCCTTGAGATTCTTCGAATCAATTTCAATTTGTTTATCATTTTGTGGTGAATATTCTTCAGTAGGTTTTTCAACGGGTAATGATAATTGATATTCAGATGTTCCTTCAATCCATTCGAGAATAATCGCTTCTTGATCACAACTTAATTTTGTATCAATTATTGGAAGATTCGGATCGATGATGGTCGATCGAAGATCTTCATTGTTTTCCGGAAATATATTTAAATCGTTTAATTGAGATTCTATAGCGAATTTCATCTAAAGAGAAACAGAGAAATTGTGATTTTGAATGAAGATAATCTTTACTTGATTTCGAAATTCTTCGCCTTGAATGAAATTTTGTTCTTGATTTGAATCATCAGTTTCTAAATCGTGTTTATTTTTTAATTGTTGTTTATCGAAAAGATTTAATTGAATTCGTTCGTGATTTTGATTATCTAAAGACCATTGTTGTTGTTTGTCTTGAATTGAATGAATATTAAATTGAATTTCTCTTTCTTGTTGATCATCACTCCATTTTACTTCATAATTTTCATCTAATTCGACTTTCTTTTTCCACAAATCTTCATTTTCTCCATCATTTATATCGTAAAGTTGATTTTGGTAAATTTCATCTTTGATTGAAATTTGTTGATTATTTTCTTCACTTTGATAATTATCGAATTGATGTTTGAAATCTTCATTAATTGTGTCACTTGTCCAAACGTAATGACTTTCTAATTCTTTGTCGATCAAAGCTTGAGCTTCGGCGTCATCAGCATCGATTAAATTATTATTTGCGTTTTTACGACGAAAACGCGGAACGATTTTTCTCTCTTTATGATGAAATTTTGCATCCATGTTGTGTTTTTCTTCTCCCCAATGAAATTACTCTTTCCACATGTCTTTTATTCAGTTGTAATTACACAACCAATCTTGCGCTTAACTTGAGAAAGAAAGACAACGTGTTTATTTTGTGATTTTAGATAGAAAAATGTCGTTAGCTGATGAACTTTTGGCTGATTTAGAAGAAACAACTGAAAATGAACGAAATACAGGTGAAGAAAAAGATCAATCGATGAAAATGGACATTGATCCAAATCCAAATGAATTAAATCAGTCGAAAAGAAATGTCAATAGTGTTTTTCATGTTGCCAAATTACAAGAATCGATCTTATTACAAGAAACAATGAGAAAAATCGATTTTCATACAAAACATCAACGAAAATCAACAATGGAAATCGAAGGACCTGTTGAATATGATCCTGAATATCTTCTCATTGTTGATGCAAATCATTTACTGGTGAAAATTGATGATGAAATCGACATCATTCACAACTTTGTCAAAGGAATCTATAAAAAACGATTTCCTGAATTGGAACAACTTGTTCAATTACCATTGGATTATCTTAAAACTGTTCAAGTGAGATCAACTTCGATAAAAGTGGATGAGAAGAATGAAATGGATCTTTTTTAGGTGTTGGCAAATAATGTTGATCGAGCAAAGAATAATGAACATCTTCAGAAATTCTTGACACAAGCAACGATTATGATCGTCAGTGTTTCTGCATCAACAACTCAGGGGTAAATGAAGAACAGATGAAAAGATTCATTTCACTGATTTTTGTCTCCTTTTTCTTAGGAAAAATTTAACAGATGAAGAATTAGAAAGAGTGATGGAAGGATGTCAAATGGTTTGAATTTCATTCACATGATCTTTCTTTTCATTTAATTTGTTTTTATTTAGGCAATGAAATTGAGTGAAGATAAACAAACAATGTTGACATATGTGGAATCACGAATGAGTTTTATTGCACCAAATTTATCAACAATTGTTGGTGCATCAACTGCAGCAAAGTTAATTGGAATGGCTGGTGGATTAACAAATCTGACAAAAATGCCTTCGTGTAATATTTTATTGTTGGGTGCGCAGAAGAAACAACTCGGAGGATTTTCAACAACTGCAGCAATGCCACATGCTGGAGCGATTTACTATTCAAAAATTGTTCAAGATTGTCCACCGGTGAGTCTCTGTTCTTTTATTTCAAAAATTTTCTTTCTTACTTCGACTTTTAGGATCTTCGAGTGAAAGTTGCTCGTCTAGTCTCATGTAAAGTAACATTAGCTGCACGTATTGACAGTTGTCATGAATGTCCACAAGGTCAACAAGGAAAAGCGTTGCTCAGTGAAATCGAAAAACGAGTGGAAAAACTAACTGAACCACCACCAGTCAAAGCAGTGAAACCATTACCTGCACCAATCGATTCTGGAAGAAAGAAACGTGGTGGAAGACGACACAGAAAAATGAAAGAACGTCTTGGAATGACTGAATTGAGAAGTGGTGCAAATAAAACTGCTTTTGGAACAGTAAGAATATCAATTCAAATCTTTTCTCAACGAAACTTTTCTTTTAGATCGAAGAAGATGCTTATCAAGAAGATTTGGGTTTTTCAGCAGGTTTAATTGGTAAATCAGGTTCAGGAAAAGTTCGTGCAGCTCAGGTTGATTCAAAAACTAAAGCAAGAATTTCACAAAAACTTCAAGTTCGTTTTTCTTCTTTTCTTTTCCTTTCAAAAACCAACGTTTCTTTTTATTTAAGAAAACTTTACAACAACAAAACAATACATATGGAGGAACAACAACAGTTCACAATCGAAAACAAATCAGTGGAACTGCATCGAGTGTTGCATTTACTCCACTTCAAGTAAGAATATATTTTCATAAAACACAACTGAGTCTCTATGAATTGTAGGGTTTGGAAATTGTTAATCCAAATGCAGCTGAAAAAGATCGAACAGGAATTGAAAGTCAAAAATATTTCTCAAATTCATTTGGTTTTACTAAAATTAGTCCATCTGTTATTCCAAAAACAACTTAAAGTTCGTTTTTTGTGTACATAAACTATTCTAGAAGAACAATTTATCATCTTTTCTCTTGTTATTGAAATAAACAGATCGATTCTTCTATAGAGAGAAAGTTCATCACCGACTCTTATTTTTTGACTCATTTCAGAAGAAAAACAAAATTGCATAGAATAAAGAAGGGAGATAAGCTGAAATTTATTGATAAAATACAATGCAAATCGAGTAATAGAAGAACAAAACAAAGTGTTTAAAATTTTAATAAATTTAAAATAAACGAATATGAACAAGGTGAAACTTTCATAAAATCATCTCAATGTTTTTTGAGAGAATGATGTAATTACAGATTAACTGCTCTATCATTTGTTTCTGATTACTGTTCTGTTTCATTTAAGATATTCTTTTCATTTTTGCCAGTGAATGATACATTATCAACATATCGCTGTGTTTGAACATCATCACCGATAAAATTATCATTGTACCATTTACCACTCTGTTTTTGACCATTGGGTTGAGTTTGAATTCCTTGTCCTTGTCTTTTATCTCTCACCCAATTTCCTAAACAACCAAAAAAACATCAAGATGCAGGAAAAGAAAACTCTACTGTCTTCTCGGCACTCGATATCTAAAAAAGTAGAATTATAGACAAATGACTCACCTTGATAACGATTACCACTTGGCCAGATCATAATACCATAACCTGATCTTTGACCAGCTCTCCAATAGCCAATATATCGATGTTTGTCAGCCCATACCATTTCACCATAGCCTGACATGTAATTCTTGTCCCATCGTCCACTATATTTCATCAATCCATTGAAGAAAGTGAACACTCCGTAACCATGTTTTTTTCCAGTAGAATCAATTTGTCCTACATAAGTATTACCCTCTTCATCGACTGTTTCAGTAATCATCGGTACGACTTTGAAAATAAATAAATAGAAATGAAATTCAGTCGTCTCTTATCAATATGAAAGTTACTCCATGTGGACGGTGGTACTGTCATATAAGGTTTCGTCGATATAGGATCTATCAGAGACAGAAAGGGAAAAAGACTTTCACATGAAAAATATCAATTCGATAATTCTTACTGCCAGTCGTTGTTGATGGAGATGATGAAGCTTGTGAGGATGGTACGGATGTATTTCGACTTTTAAAAAAGAAGAGGCCACTAGTGAAACAAGTAGAACCAATCAATAATAGTGAGATACTGAGAATAAATGAATGGCATTGCATTTCGATAAAGACGTTCCGATTTTTCTTTTTGATCTAAAAATATTTCAACGAGTTAGAAAACATCAAAATCTGTTCCACTGCTCTCTAATTACATACAACATATTTGTCTTTTCTTAATGAAATTCCACTATGTAGATCTGAAACTCATAGGACAAGTGAAGTGATCAAAAATGTATCTGAGATATGAATACTCAACTGTATAACTAATACTATGCTAAAAAGAGATTGAGAAAGATACAAATGAAATCTAACCTATACAGCATTTTCTACAACTATAACAAATGGACAGAAAAATATCAATGAAAAAACGACAAGAATCACTTTGATACGATTGTGAAACCAATCTACTATATATAACGAGAGAACATCTATATGTCAGTCATATTATTTTTATGGATATGGGAAAGATTCTCTTTTTATCGTTCTTCCCACAGAACCAACGATTCTCTTCGGCACAAGAGAGGAATCAAGTCTGTCTTCCTCATGTCATGATGATCTTCCCCATCTAATGGATACAGACAATGACATCATTTATCAGTAGTAAGACAATCTCGCGTTTGGAACATTGAAAACTCCCATACTGATTGATGGGGCTTTCGGACTTGAGCGAAGATGCCTGGAACGGTGCTATGAAATTGTATAAAACCCGTATCAATATGTGGTAATAACTATACATTCGTCTACCATCTAAACCAAATCAATACTGATTTGTCGATCGTTTATTCATGGAATGTCATTGGATTTTACTATTATTGGCAATTGTTGTCAGTGTAATTCAAACAGCACCCGTAAAAGATGATAGAACTCCGCGTTGTGGTGTACAAGATGGTGGTCATGGCAAATTCGCTTTAGCTCATGGAATCAAATGGCGTAAGCGACGTATTACCTGGTCATTTAAAGGACCAGCTCCTCAACAAATTGGTCATCAACGAACAATCCAAATCATCAGCGAAGCATTTCAACGTTGGGCAGATATTGTCCCATTAGAATTTAGTAACGTTTGTGCTACGTGCAAAGCAGATATTCCAGTTTCGTTCAAATATATCGATGGTATGTTTTTAGTGATTTACATCGATCAATAGTCAAAGATCTCTTTTTGTTTACTTTAGGAAGAAATAGAGTATTGGCATTCGTACAACCGAATAGTCCAGTACCTTACTTTGATGATGGAAACCCTATTATGGTATTTGATAAAGATGAAAATTGGTCTGACGAGTGAGTACACCAAGAAAAAGATTTGAGCTCAATTTCATATGAGAAGATGGAGGAGTGTTATTCGATATCATTTTACACTACATTGAACTAATAATCTAAGTATCATTATCTCTTAAAGATCAGTGATTGACTTTCTGTTTCTTTTAGATTCCCAAGACATAACAATGGTCGAACCAATTTGTTTATGGTAGCTGTACATGAGATTGGTCACGTGATTGGATTACATCATGATGAAGATCCTAATGCAATTATGTACTTTCAACACAGAGAAGGAAAATTTCGCAAACAAGATATCGTACCACCAATTGATAGATCAGAAATCCAAAAGATATACGGAAGAAAGACTGGTGGTAAAGCAAATCCAAAACCTACAATACCATCACCTGACGATGATGATGAAGATGAGTCGGGAGAAGTTATAAGAATACCACCACCTTCAAATCACGGCGGTGCCGACAATGATGATGACGAGCAAGGAGAAGTTATAAGAATTCCAGGACCAGGTGAGAATGCACTTTATTTTCATTCAGAACATAGAACAGTTAAATCCTATGACTGATATTTATGAAGAAAAATTTCAGATCTCTTTTGTCCGAAATGTGTTCTTTATCAATACAGGTTCTGTGAACTTCGTGGAAGAGAATTTCTATAATAAATTGTAGAAATGTTTGAACTTATTCTCTTCTATTTTTAGGAGGAAGACCAACAGGAGGAAATGGAAACAATTGTGTTGAAAAGACTATAAGATTTCCTGGTGGTTATAGAACGGAACGACGTTGTAGTAGTTCACATTCTTCATCATTTAGCTATGGTTCTAACTTTCACAACTGAAAGTGAATAGTCCAAATCTTCATATTGCTGTGCTTAGTCTTTTTCTCTGATGTGTATTTGTGCAAGTGCTTTTTCTGAATCGAATAAATTCTTTTTTTTTCTATATACCTCATATTCATGATGTTTGTTTATCTGTTACTGACTCAAAGAAAAATATGATGTATCCGTTAATAAAGCTAAAAGAACAAGTGAATAATTCATCGATGAGATTAAAAATAAACACATCAACATAAGCGTAGAAGCAACATTTTCATAGTCTCATTTTCTCTACACACATTCTTTTCATGTCAATATTCCAATAAATCAGACTCTTGTACATTACGAGTCTGGTCGATACGATATATTTCAACAGACAATAGAATATTGATAAACGTTTACATAAATAAAGATGTTTGAAATGGTGAATTTAAACTGAAAAATTGAAAAATCTTTGATAGTTTTAGTAAAAGGAATAAATTTAGATCGTGTCAAGAATGTTCAGAGAAATAAGTTTATTTATTTCTTTTTGTTATTTTGAAGCTAAATTTGTGTAGACACAATCATCCGATGAGGGCTAAGAGATTCGTGAAAACATGACGAAGAAAAGATGTGTTCATCGAATCACGTGATAATTCAGTACACATTCTTAATCATTGTCCAAGATATGTTGATTACTATCACTTATGATGAAATAATTTGATTTAAAAGCAAAAATTATTGAAAGGAAACATTACTTTCAACATTTCTCTGTCTCACTTAAATGTTTCTCTTTTAACCTAAACAGAATCCAAAGAACATGACACTCTTGTTTGGTTTACCACACAAAATAAGTCATATAAGTACATAAAGCAGCTGGAAAAGTATTTAGGTCATAGACGATGATATATGGGAAGAAGGGAAAAAAAGATTTCCTATCTGAGATCCATAGAATGGGAAAGAATTATTTTATCATGACTCATGTATATAATACTTTCACGATGAAATCCCACCACACATAAAACTTGTAGTATAAATACTCGAACAAATTTCGATAGTCTATTCATCAAACAAACATCGTATAATCTTATTTGGATCCTACAAAATATATATCAAGAAATTTCTTCTTAACTTCTTCAATTCGTTGATTAGACAATTAACAATGAAAATTTTCGTTACATCATTATTATCATTGGTATTACTTGTAGTTATTAGTTATATTTCAGCTGGAATAGTACCTGAAGATTCATCAATTTCAAATGAAACATTAAATAACAGAACAGATTGGACATTGGATGAACTCGAAGGAACCGATTCCGATCTTGTTGATGTAAACGGTTAGTTGTTTCATCTTTTCAGAATATGAAAACTCTGATAGTCTATTTCTGTTTTTAGGAAGTCGTATTGAAGATAACGAACGATCAGCACGTCTTCGTCGTTCATGTGATTGTTGGACAACACTTGGTCGATGTATGTCTGCAGGCAGTAGACAATGTTACTTTGTAAATGGGCCAAGTGTTGTCAAATGTGTCGGAGACTCAAGTTGGAAACGAGTTCGTCGTTGTCAATCAGGATGTGTATGGAATAATGATAATCCTTACTGTACTTAAAACAACGAAACTTTATCGAAACTCGACTATCTAATCTTAAATGATTATTTTTCCTCTTTTTTTTTAAATAATTTCCTGAATAGAATTTTGAAAAATTTCTACAAAGTCAATGGTTATTTTCAAGTACGAATGTCTCTTATATTTATATTTAATCTATTCTCATCCGTAGATATATTTCCGAATATTCAATTTCCATTCACATAAGTTAGAATCATTGACCAATGAACTAAATAAAAGACTTCTTAAATGTTCAAGATACAGAGATGATTGATTGGTTTGATTGTCAATATATTACTTTTAATCGTTCTCTTCGTATGAAAAGATTTCTTTTCTTTTTCTTTTCGAAATGACATCATTTGATGGAGTAAAACAGTAAAAAAAGAGAAATTTCTTTTCTTTTCGTTCGAATGTATTTGATTTGATCAGATGTGTTTGTCCTTGGAGATACACATTTAACTGAATTATTCATTCAAGTTTTATCTTTGAATAACTTTTCAATGGTTTTGAAAAGTATTGTTCGTTATATCATCAATAATTATCTCAAAGATTATATTGAAAAATTAGATGATGAAAGATTGAAACTTGATTTACGACACGGTTACATTTTTTCTCACATTTTATTCGAATTTTGTTCATTTTCTGTCGTTTCAGGTGATGTTTCATTGGAAAATCTTCATTTAAAACCTGAAGCTTTGGTTTGTCAAATCGTTGTTTTCATTTTCTTCGAAATAAATTTCATATTTTAAGATTGGATTTGGTATTCCTGTAACAGTTGTTGTTGGATTTATCGGTAAATTCATCTTGAGAAAATCAAATCACATTGATTTTCTTTAGAAAAGTTATCCATCGTTATTCCATGGAAAAATCTTCATTCAAATCCAACAAAAGTCTATTTGAATGGTTTATATATGTTAATTGTTCCGAAAAACGGTACGTTGATTTGATTTTCATTGTGAAAAATTTGTTTTTGTAGAAGTTCGTCAAGATCTTCGTGAATATCATGAAGAAAAAATGAAAAAAGTTCAAAGAAAATTAGATAATCTTCGTAAAGCAACGTCAGGTTAGAAGATTCTAATCTTCTTTTTGTTGATTTCAATGAAAATTGTAGATGAAAACAAATTTGAAGAAAAAGAAAAAAGTTTCTTCGAACGAATGAAAATTCAAATGATGCAAAATCTTCAATTAAATCTGAAAAATCTTCATATTAGTTATGAAACGATGTCAACAACGAAATTAGGTCATCCATTTTCATTTGGATTTACAATTTCTTCTTTACAATTTCATGTAAATTCTTTTCAAATTCAATTGTTTTCTTCAAATTCTTCTTTTAGTCATCAACTAACTCTGAACAAATCGGAAAAAACAAAGAAAATTCTTTAATCATCTTCAAGGTTTAAACAAAATTGTTTTGTTTAAAAGAAAAAGTCATTGTGTTGATTTAGTTGAATGAAATGAATGATTTTTCACTTTATTGGAATACAAATTGTCAATCGAGAATCAATCTTCCGTATCAATGTGTTCTCGTTTGTATTTTTATAATATTTTCATTAATATTTCAATGATAAATTTGATTTAGGATGATTTGAAATCGAAGATTGCACGAGATGATCAGAAACCCAAACGATATATGATGAATTATGGTTCGAATGGAAAAGTTTTGAGGAAAATTTCATTTATTTTTCTTTGAAATTTAGTTTTTCATCCGACAAATTTGAAATTTCAATTGGAAATGTCAATGAAATTTGCAGAAGAGAATTTTGAAAAACCAATTGTGAAAATTGATTTTCGAATCGAAGAAATGAATTTTGAAATTGATCCAAAACAATTCTCTGATCTATTAGATTTTGTTAAATTTCAAAATTATTCCGTTTTTTACGGTATTTCTTATCATTTTTCTCAAAATCATTTTCATTTCATTGTTTTCAAAAGATCGTTGTCGAGAATATCGTCAATTATATCTTAAAGAATATCTTTCAAATTCAACATTAACATTAGAAGAATCAAATCGAATTTATGTAAGAAAATTCTTATTCATTCACATTTTTCAAAAGAACTTTTCTTTTTTTACGTTGAATTAAAGATCCTCGAGTCGAAATTGGATGTTTATACAATGGCATATATAAGACATAGTATTGAATTAGAAGTACGATAATGTTTGAGGTATTTGTTTATAATAATTTTGAATATTTATAGTTTCATCATCAAGATGAAAATGAAAAAAAATATTCTTGGTGGAATTGGTGGTGGAAAGGAAAAGAAAATTCAAATCAAAGTTTGAATTTGGTTTAATGATATCAATGAAAAATGTTTTCGTTGATTTAGATCAATTTCAAAATAATCCAGGAGAGTTTTTCTCAGAAGAAGTTTGTTGATTTTGTCTTTAGAGAAAGATTTTTCAATGAGATTTCTTCATTTTAGTCATTGAATACCGATGTGAATATTGAAATTAATAAACTTGGATTTAATTTATTATTTCCGAAAAGAAAAAGAAAGTAAAAAATGAAATGAATGTTTATCATTTGAAATTAATTTGAGAGATCAATTTAGATCACATGAAAATAACGTCATTATAAGTCATATTTCAATTGAAAATACTCAAATTAGTTATAAACGTCGAACAATTTCATCGAGTATCTTGTAAAAACACATTTCATCATGGAGAAAAACATAATTTTCTATTGATTTCTCTCTTGAATAGATGTGTTCTCAATTTGGGATATTTTCAAATTTTTGGTTTAAAATCTTCTGATAATTCTCGTCCGTTAATGTTAACATCAGCAATGAAATCATTGAATTCATTAATTCATATTGAATTTGAATTAGCACCAATTAATAAACAATCCGATTATCGATTTTTATTATTAATGGAACCATTGACAATTATTTATCATGCTGTTTGTTCTTCATAGGAGATTTTATAAATATAAAAAGAAGAAAATTTTCTTTTCATATAGGCTACAATTAATGAAATTGTGGAAAATTTTGAACCAATTCGAGAAGATTATTTACCTTTTATCGTACCAAAGTTTGTCTTTTATTTTAGAGAGACTTTCGATTTTGATTTGATATTTAGAATGAAAGAAAGAACATTTGCAGAAATTGAAAAAGATTTATTGAATAAGAAAATCTTTGATATGACAATTAAAATCAAAGGTTTATCGCTTTTGTCACCGGAAAATGGAATTTACACTCAGTTGGTTTTGTAGTTTTATTTGATTTCTGATTGTGTGTTCGATTTTTTAGAGATTCCAAATTAGTTTGTGTTCAATTTCAGAATCTTCTGATCAAATCAGTATTAAACAATAACAATCAAGAAAATACGGAAGAAAGAAGATTTTATGTGAAATATAATTTAATTCTGAATGATCTCAAAATAGTTTATTTAAGACCAAGTATGATTTATATTTGAATTTAACGATGAAATATCACTTTGTCTTTTAGATAAAGATCGAATTGATGTTTTGAAATCAATTCCACAATTGGAAACAACTTTTTATAAATGTATTTATTCTGATCAAATGAATTTCATGGAGTAAGATGGGATTTTCAAGAAAAACTCTATAAAATAGTTGAATTATTTCAGTTGGAAAATTGATTTTCAAATTAATCAAATGAATTCTGTGAATTTATCGAAAAGAACGTTAAAGAAATTAATGAATCATTTACAATCAATTCCACTGTTTTATTCATCAATGACACAAACAATTCAACGAGTGAATCTTTTCTGTAAAATTACTTTTTGTCTTTTCATATTTATTTAATTCAATTGAAATTTAGTCAAAATATTTTCTCCATATTCAACAATTCAATTTGACGTGACAATTCAAAACTCTTCCTTCGTTATTACACGTTCACAAAAGTCTATTCAAACAAGTTTGATACTTTTTCGTTTAACTCCTTTGTCTACTTTGATTTTCAATAGATTTCTATGGTCGTCTATTGAGAACAAGACTAAATGAAGATCAATTAATTAATTCATTTGAAATTGCATTTAGAAATCTTATCATGACATTATCAAATCAATCATTTTATCGAAAAGATTCGATTCAAATAATGTATTTTAATTAAACTATCAGATTAGGACGTTTGCATTACCAATGATTCGTTTTAATAAATAAAATTCGTCGCAATCTTCAACCGTTAGCTTTCTCCAAATCGCTTCGAAAACAACGAAATCAAAACTGTCGGATGAGCCTTTTGAGCCAGGCCGAAACACGTCGTAGTTCGCTCGACTCACCCTCTTCTCCTTATATTAGTTATCGTACAGTACAAAAAAAATCCATAAAATAATAAGAAAAATGTTACATGAATATAAAAATGACCAAAGAAACACACACACACACACATATCGACAATTAAGATCAATAAAAATAATAAGAGAGAAAATTCAATGATAAGTGACGAAATGCTTTTGTTAAAGTTTGTCATATCTGCTGGTACTGATATCGAGTGAATTGATACATTTTGTGTTCATACCACTTGCACATTGAACACACAGTATAAATGACCGCGAGACACCACATAAATTCGTTTCATAAAGTATGAATACCCTGTGATATGCCATGCGTGACGACAGGTAAGCCAACACCAGCGACATAATTCAGTACATCTCCAACACTTGTGTTTTTGGGAGAAATATCACGTCTGGCTAACTCTTCACGAATTTCATCACGTTTATTCTCATGAGAGATCATCTTATACATCTTGTAGCCAAAGAGTGGAATGACAATAGGAGCTGCAACTCCTCCAGTCGCCAAGATTGAAGTCATTCCGGCGCTGATGGACATTCCCAGACCAGCCTTGATACGTTTTGCACGTCGTCTGTGTTTGACTTCCATGCGGATAAGGTCGTCATTGGAGTATTGACCATAACGTGAAGACATTGTAGTACAAAATTTTGTGTATCTTCCCATAGTATAAATACTCGTACACTGACATGGAAACAACCAATATATGACTCTTCGTAATTGAGACTAAAATCACGTTGGGCAGAAATAAAGAGGAGAAGAAAAAACGCAAATAATGATGACGTTTAGGGTCCTGACGTTACTCAATCAAATGAGTACTTCCTCATTTGAATTCTTAATGTTTACGTCGAAAGATTATTATCAGTATAATTGTACATACCTTCGTACGGCTGCACGAAGGAAAGAAGAAGAGTTTGATGGTTGACGCACTTCCGTGTAAGATGTCAGGGCGTGAGTTAGAACCAAGTGTAGGAAGATGAAACTGTGTCGTTTATCTACGATTTCATAGAGCTTTTTGGAGAGAATGCAACGAAAGACGGGCAAAGAAAGATTATCAAATCAAAGTAGCATTCTATAAAGCACGTTTTCCAATAACGAATCGGCTCTTTAATAAATAGATTAGCTGATGCCACCGAATTCGTCGATGGGCCGGTTGCAGCAATTCTGCTCATGTTTTCGTTACTATGCGTTTGATCTGTGAATTATCTGAAGTATTTTTACGGCAGAAATATCGTGATAATATGTTGTAAATGATAATGAGAGTGTCCGCGTGGGAATTCGTTCCATTTCTCTATTCGAGTATGATGGATTTTCTTCGTTGATGGCGATGGTGAGCTATAATCGATTTCGATTCTGCTCAGGAATCTCATCAGATAGTGATGTTTTCGACGCGTTATATTATGTCATATCATTGATTGTTTTCATCCAAAAAAAAACGATTCCCTTACTTTATTAGTTTTTATGAAAAATACTAATCGAATAAAACTTTTCTCTCTCGTTAAAAATACATTCATCAACGTTTGATTATTTCTTCTCATGTCTAATAATAACGATCATTTGGCATCCAAGTTCGTCATCAGCTTGATAGGGTCCGTGTTCCATCTGAGGATTTCTCCATGCATGATAACCTTTGCCGAAAGTTTGTCCAAGAGAAAGATCAGTTATTGAACCATCCAGTATATAAACTTCTTCATGATATGTGTGAGTAATAACATCATTACCAGTTTGAAAACCTGGTGGCCATGTTTGAATACTTGTTTGAGGCGATAATTTAGTGATAGAAATAGTCTTGGAATCATTTAATGGAAACGGAGGAAGATCAGGTTGGTAAAATTCACGATTTTCCATGGAATCATCGTCCATCGTATTTTGTAGTTGCGAAAAACTTTGCTGTTGTTTGATGAAATGCGATGATGTTCTGTCGTATGGTTTCATGCAGTCTACAGAAAGATAAGGATGTTGTTAATCACGACAGAAGAAAAACAAAATAACAGCAAAATAAACCTGATGCGTTGAAAATATCTTATGTCTTTCGAGATTTTTTTTTAATTTAGTTTTTCGAGTGGCACCAAGAATTTGAAGGAGATGCACAAGTTCACATACTGTCAGGAGAAAATGTGATCTTTAGTTTTAGTTACATCTCACAATAAAAATATGAATCAAAGTTTTTTATGTGCAGAAAATTGGATTGAATTGAAGTTTATTTGCGATATTCGTGTGTAAAATCTATGAACTAAAAGTGATCATACATCAAAAGAAGCATGAATTACACAAAATCTAATTGAATAAAGTTTTGTTGGGTTTGTTGATAAGGTATGAATCGTATTTTGATGATGTTATTTCTGGTTGATCTTTATGTCTTTTCAGTCTCAAAGCATGACAAATAAGATTACACACGTGTTTGAAAGAATCGTTTGATTCCTGGATTTCCCAAATTAGTTTTTCCAAATCTCATCACACTAGTTGAATGAATACAAGGATCTGTCAGTAAATATGTTTGATTATCTCCAATATCAATTCCTTGTAGATCGACAACAATCATATCTCCCATTGTTCGTTCGTAAGTCCAATGTGAAAATGCTTGAAGAGTATATGCTGGGTCATCCATATTGACGTAACCAGCATTGTTTGAAAACTTCTTATAAGAACCTTCGGTGAAACGTTCCAGTGTCGAGTTACGAGGTCCTCCTTCAATGGATCGATCGAAAACTAATTTCAACATAATAAATTTAATCTTTTTGACGATTGTTAAATTACTGATAGATGGTAATCTGTTAAATTCTTGTGCGAGAAAATCAGCAATGGTTTGACATTCTAATAAATCGAAATATTTCTCTTGAATGTTGGCTTTCTTATCCACTTGTTTATATTCTTTAAGAACAACTTTTTCCTCTCTATCTTTATATCTCATTAGACCATAATAAGCTAAACGCATTCCACCTTCAGCAAAAGGATTTGAAGCAATTCTAATGTTCCATTGCTGATCTATTTGAGTACAATTTAATTGACTGTCGCATTCGAATTTCACAACTTGTATCCATTTAGCTGGTATGTACGACCAATTTGGTTCTTCTTTATCAAAATTCACCACACGTAAAGTCTTAGTTTTTGATGGATTAGATAATTCGTTTTTCAATAACGCCGATGTTGTGTCAGAGATTGATCGTGACACCGTTTCAACAATAAATGGTAATAAATTGGTAAATTTTTCCACATCCGTTTGTTCAATTGCCATTTTTTCTTCTGCATGTTTGAGAAATTGCTCGATCATTTTGTCTGTATAACAGTCATATGAGCACAAACTTCAATCACATAGCCCATTTCAGCTGTTTCCGGGTGCTGATGAGGTTCACGCATGCCATTCGTTGTTATTCGGAGAGAATATATGGGAACTAAAAAAGATCGATCGAATGTTTTCTTTTTCTTAATTAAAGCTTACCATCTTTCAATACGGGCCAAACGTTCTTTGTGATGGTTTTAACAATTCCTTTGGAATTTAATATTTTAGCTGATAAACCTTCAGCATTGAAATGATATTTATTTAGAAATTCAGATTCATGTCGAATGTCATTCTTCACCGAGCTGTTCTTAAATCTAAGTACAGTCACCAGTCGACAATGTTTAATACGTTGAAATGCACTACTTGGTAATTGAAATGTATTTCCAAGCACAGTATTTGTCCTACAAATAAATACCAACATATTCCTTAGGTAAAAATCAAACAATCAGACATACATTGCAAAGAATGTTCCCGATAAACCAGAATCTTCAGGTGATTAGTGTGTAAAGTTAACAATAAATTCTGCAGGGACTTCGTATCGAAGTTTTCTATATGATGTAAATAACCCGATGGAACATAATACATTTCACCTTGTTTAACAAGAAATGAATTATGATCATTATCATTACTGAATATCGTAATCAAAGCTGAACCATTCTAGAGAAACAAATTCATCGAATGTGAGAAATTTGTTCTTTGAAAATGACTTACTAAACAATAACCTAATTCATCAGCATTTGCATGCCAAGGAGGCTCTCGAATACTTGAAGAATCTATTGATACATATCGCATTGAAAGTCCTTTGAGAATAGGAAATTCTTTAAACTCCTTGCATTTGAGAAGTTTACATGCTGCTATTTTAAATGGTTTGAAGAAAATCGAAAAATCATTGTGCATTCCAGTTTTTTCATTAAGAAACATATTGAAACTGGTTTTATTTATACGACTTTTTTGTCTGAAAACAAACATCTCACAACATATCTTACAGAGAGAGAAGATAAAATGATTTTCCGGTAATAATGAGTCTTTTGTGGACTTCTTCGAATAGATCTGATATATTTCCGAAAATTTTGTACCTCACGTCTGTACCCTATTTGGAGGAAAGCTGTACCTCTCGTGCACCCCATTTCTCATCTCCGATACCCCATTTGAGACCTGAACAGTTGGTAACCCTGATTCAAAGATTCATCAGTACCATTTCTTTCACTTTATGGTTTCTCGTGACATTCGTGTTTATTTAGAACAAAACCAATCGTGTTATGAAAACCAATGAACTTTTATCGCGCAAAATAGGCAATTCAGAGCAAGAAAACAAAGATTTATCGCTACGATTTGTTTTACTTTCGCATTCGTTTTGAATTCCGTGGTTCTTTAGGATAAAATAAATCGTGTTATGGTGACAAATGAACTTTTATCAAGCAAGATTGATAATTTGGAACAAGAAAACAAGACATTATGCACTAGTTTGGAAACAGTTCAGCCCAGGTCATTGTGACCCGATCGGTTAAGTTTGCTTTCCGATTATTTTCTGGCCACTTCCTGCAAACCTTGAGTCGGAAAAAACGGTCAGGAACTGGTCGAATACTTCCTCGAACCTTCCGACTGGAATCCAGCACCAAGGAACTTGTCGAATCAGACCGAAACCTGCTGAATTCGACTGGAACCGATCGGAATTATACCGAAACCGGCTCAGATTTAAACGGATCCGGTCGCCGGAATGATCGACCTGGGAGAATCAATTGGACGTTTTCTGCGCAAATCATCAACAAGCACCAAATGTATTGTTACACAAATTTGAAAAACTTCAAGCTAGTGAAACCAAAAGAATGAAGAAAGAGAAAAATCAAGAAAAAGCTGTTCTAATTCGTGATTTACTCAATACCCCCAAACTACAGTTAAAGAAGCAATTGAAGAAGGAAAAGATGAATGAAAAACAAATCAATAATCTGATTAATTGAACCACGAATTGTGGCGACTTGTTATCAAACCATTCAGTGCTATTTAGATCTCTATCATCGGTTACAACTGAGTTTGGAATATCATGCGACCAGCTTTTTGGTGTCTCAAAGAAAAAAAAATCGAATACATATTTTCACGTTGACGTAAAGATTAAGGAATATGCTCAAGAACGTAAAACAATCAAAATTTATTCCATCGAAGAGGTTCTTCACTGTGCAGACATGTATCCGCTTTCGGCAAGCGATTTAGAAGTGTTTCAACCTGTATTTATACGGTCATGTCAAATCATAAACAAAGAAACGGCCTGAGCCGATTTGAAAATACTCGAATGGTGTTAAAGTTTACAAAAAAACGCTCGAGTTTAAGGAGGGCCCTATGAAATAAAATAGTTTGTATGTATGTTTGTTTGTATGTCTGTGTCAGGGTCAAAGATCAAACACATATTAGTCGCATTCATAGGCTCTTGTAGGGCGCATTTTGGAGATATGCATGGGTGTTCCAGTCGTGCGATTTCGCGGCGTCTCGGATCCTCAGGCTGGTCATTTTCCAGGGGCTTATGGGTCCTGATGTAACTCACTGTGGGGGTCCTCATGGGACGTTTTTGGAAAATAGACAACAGTCGTTTAAGTGCATTTTGTTTCCAAATTCATAATTTAAATTTGAAGAAAAATTTGAATTGTTTCTTCCTACAAAGATGCTCGACTAGGTCCTACAATCATTCAGACAGAAAACTAGTCCGTCGTTACACGGTCGAGGGTCAAGTGGGTCGCAACGACGAACGTTGCTTGTCTCGATAACCTATGTGTGAGTGAATCCATGGGAAACGTACCACGTTTACAGCGATCATTGAGTATTACGGGTGAGGGTGACTGATATGAAGCATGGATTTGAATTATGCAATTCATCCACGCCTACACCCACACATACATAAATTCGGAATCAGGTCTAAAATGATCACGTACGTTCTCCGGCTGTCTAACGATTGAAAGTCGAACCCGGGCGAGGAGTCTTATACGCCACGAGATAGAACAAGAGACGCTCTGAAAAATCGATTTGATGCGTTATAGCGTTTTCCGGGAAATTCATTTTTGACGCAGTAAACAATCAAGATGTCACTCACATAGGCTATTATATTCGTCATGCAGAATTTCCCAATTTCCAAGGTTCGGAAATTGACATGGAACTTCTATTATGGATGTCCGAACAGTGCAATTTTGAAGCCAGGGTACTTCGGTTAGGATCACTCGTGATATGAGTGTCTGAGTCTGATATCTGAGAAAAAAAGATAAGAAATTTTGTGGAGATTTTTGGAATTCAAGCTTTCACAGTTTTATCGAAAAATGTGGAAAAATGAAATGCTTATTTATCTTTGTCGATACCTTACTCTCCAAATTATTGGCTTCAAAATGGGAAATGGAAGTTCATTATCTTTGTGCGCATATTTGAAACGTCGAACTGGATTAGAGTTTTCTGTGTGAAGGAGCCTTTTGCTCGTGAAAGTCTGAGATGTAGTATTTGTGTTGCACAATGCTCACGGTCGCAGGCTAATGTTCTTCTGGATAGAAAGATATCACCATGAAATGCTTTGTTTTTGTTTCTATGCAAACCTTTGTGCGTATGACAAAACAATATAGCTATAAACGTCGAGAATGTCAATTTTGAAGATACTCTTTTACGTCATGAAGACGAAGTTAATGGTGTTAACGTCGTTGTCGATCTAGCAGATTCACGGGTGTATTTAGTTATTCTCGATTGCGTGTGAGCAGGTTTGTCATCAACTTGGACATCAAATAACAGTGTGTCATCTATGAAATGCTCAAGAAATCTCTTGCATTAATGTATGCGCTCGTTCTGAGACGAAGGCTGATTGGATGTTTCTTTGATATACAGCACATTGTTGCTATCATCGGAATTGTAGAAGATTTCTTTTTCTTATGCTTGACTTGACTTTGCTGATTGATTATCGTCATTAACTCACGAATCGTTGTTTTCAATTGAGCAAAAAAGTTTATCTTCGAAATTCTTTCAAAGATATTTGTTTTTTTTTATGGATTTAACGCTTTATTCGATGATAAACAATCAGTTTACAAGAATGAAAAGGAACGGAAAAAGGAGGAGAGACAACGGACAAACTGGTCATAAAGCTGGCAGAGAAGAAAAGGCGACGCATGACTTATGTCTTATGTCTCGTAGAGAAAAGAAAAACAAAAACTTAAACGCATAGAGAGTGTGGTGGAGGTTAGGTTCGACCGTGTGAAGTTGCATGGTAGCGTAGTGGTGGTTTTCTTCGATGAAACTTCGACGTATATGTGCAGGAACGGGCCGACGTATACGTCGATAATCGTTGTTTCTTCGTTCTCGATCAACCGTTTTGTACGTGATTCCGATATAACAATTTTTGTACAGATTCGGCTGACTTAACAGTGATCTATGTTATCGACGCTAGCATTAATAGTGAAGAGAAGAGTGTTGTTTCACGTTGTCGTTAACGTATAGAGCAGAACTGATAGAGCCGGAGAACGAGGATATGTACGTCACATGTAGTCGTTTACTGTCTTCACAAGGAGAGACAGAAGGATGGTTAGATTGTCTTAGAGGTTGCCGTCCTAGTCTGTGAGAGTGATATGTTGTCTAAGGAAAAGCTGAAAGGTCGTTCAGTAGCCGGATGAAAGATTTCACGCCATACGCGTATAAAGTGAAAGTTCCTGTGCGGCTAAGTTGAATGTCGTTCAGCTTTATGTCGTTAAGCTGCATCTTATTTAATTTAGTATTTTCGAGGATGAGAGGCGCGATCGTGAATTTTGGTTGGATGATGTTTCTGACTAGTCGGTTGTTTTGTGGAGTTCAAACAATGAGCGCGACGGGTGAGTGACGTGGCCCATTGTCTAGGCTCTGGTGTTGTGCCATTGCGCATGAGTGCCCATCTCTTGCCTTTGCAGGCATGGACTAGACCAAAAACTTGTTTTTTGTTCGTGCAGGAGACTTAGTTGGTTAAAAATTAAGTTTACGCTGGTAGATGATAGCGAGAGACAGAGAGAGAAGGTTCTTTGTGTGAACCGAAAGAAGTCAAAGTTTACGCGTATAGACGAAAGAGAATGTGACTGATTGCTAGCTCGTCAGAGAGGGGAATGAGATATTTGTTTGATCAATATTTCTTCTACACTGATAAAAATTTTCGTAGAATGATAAACCCTCAAAAAAGGGTTTATAACTGAAAAGTTCGTTCATCAACGTGATCTATCCCTTGATCAACCCTTTTTTCTTGATAAATCCCAAAAAGGTATATTATCCGTTGCAAACTGATAAACCCAACAGTTTATTGTCTCGTGATAAATCCTTTTCCCGTTGATCAACTGAATCAACCCTCAAACTCAGAGTTTATCATCATTTCCAAGAAACCTTTCGATTAGAATTGATCCAGTTGATCAACGGGAAAAGGGTTTATCAAGAGACAATAAACTGTTGGGTTTATCAGTTTGCAACGGATAATATACCTTTTTGGGGTTTATCAAGAAAAAAGGGTTGATCAAGGGATAGATCACGTTGATAAACGAACTTTTCAGTTATAAACCCTTTTTTGAGGGTTTATCATTCTACGAAAATTTTTATCAGTGTAATGCGGTCTAATAACAGTTTGTTAAAGGTATTGAATTAATTGAGAGACCTGGCGCACTAGCGAAATGCCTCCGGACTAAAGTTATTCAATTACGAACCTTATGGTATCTATCAACAGTCTTTTGGCTATCTAGGATTTCAATCTTTCTTTCCTTGCCATCATTTCAATGATAGATTTTATCTGAAACATTGGGATAAAATTTGTCAGTTTAATCAAAATTGATTCCTTAGATCGAAGTTTTATGATTAGTTGCTTAAAAAACATGATCGGAACAAATTTTGTGTGTTAAAAGCAAATAATTCGTATTGACACTAAAAAATGAAGACTGAATATATTATCAGTGTGG